CATGTCCACCGCCGCCGATCTGACATGATTTTGCTGCTACCATCCTTAAGATTTTACCAAAGACTCCATAGAATTATAATCTCAACCCAACACTCTTCAAAAGGAAGCTCCGCCTCTAGACCTACAATGGTCTTCTTCAATCCAAACGGTGAAGTATGATGACGAGGATATTACTCCATGAGAAGAGAAGAGCCGAGCTGATAGTGAAGCAACCATAATCGATCAGTGGCAAACGGAATTTAAGACTGCAAATCTTGTAGAAAGAGAGAACTCAAAAGTCCAGATTTTAAGATCTTATACAAAGCTAAATCTGGAAATACTATAATCCGATCTAAGAAACCGGCTATACCGGAGAAGAAAGATGAACACAGATCGGAAAATAAACAAAAAACTGAATCCGATTAGAGATCGGAAGAAAGAAAAAGATAGATCTAGCTTTTCTCTCTCTAAAAGATTCTAGAGAGTTAAGAGAGAGAAAAAGCAAAGTTTTTCCATTTTGTTACGGCACTTTACTAAAAGTTTTTTTACCGGAAAATATCACGAATTGTTAGTAGTCGTTGATATATGTCTTGTAATTTTTTTGTGTATTCAAGCAAGTAACACGAAATTCCGCATGTCTCTGTATAACCATATAACAGCATTTAAGACACCGGTCGATTGAGATGTGTTGTTTCAACAAGCACAATTTAATTATATATGTGGGTTGAACTTAAATACATATCGATAGCTTAAGCTGTGTAGTTCTCAATAATTAATCTTATAATTTGATTTTTAATCACACCACATATAAAATAGCGTAAATACTGTTCTTTCGACTAAAACGTAAAATAATATAGTCACATTATTCTAGTTTTGTAGCTCAACCGATATACTAACTAGTCTCTATATATAAAACAATAAAAGCAGGGAAAGATATCAAATTAGAGCAACAACTACGAGTCATAGACAAGAGATAACTTTTTTGGTCATTAACCTGAAAATCTTATGAATGAATCTAGGTCAGAAATTTTCTTAACCAAAAAATCCAACTTAGATAGACACACAAAGTATAAGAATATATAAGATAATAAATTTGGCCACATACATTATCAACCAAAATGTTCCAAACTTTTTAAAACTATATATATCCAGTACGTTACATGTATATAGCGACACGTTTACTCAAAAACATGTATAGCCCACACGAGCAGATATACCCCCTTGTTTTCTTTCTTGTCAAGAATCCTTTCACTATAATAAATAAATCTTCATAGCAAAAAAAAAAGTTTAATAAATAAATTGAGCTGATCATCTTGGTTTTGTGTGCTCAAAATCTTCCCGTATATTAAGGAACAAAAGGATGATCTTTATTACATGATACAAACAAAAGTAGATCGTTACGAAATTATATGTAAATCGCACGCGAATGAATTATCATTATTCCTATGTTACTTTGCGGTTCCTCATTTTACTCTCATCATCTTCCTTAATTACCCGTAGCGTGTGACAATCTTCATCATTAGCATATTCTTATCATTAGGATTTTAAATCTTATGAGTATACCGTTTATTTTGATGTAAGAAAAACTATATAAATTCGATCACACGTACACCATTGTAAATTTTTTGTTAGCTTTGTAGATTAGGTTTTAATCAATATTAAATAAAATCATTAGATGTTATATGGATGTTCGGAGGCCGTCTAACCACTAAACTAATACTTTTATAAGTTTTTTTTTTCTTTCATTTGAATTTTTTTTTCTTTTCTGTCGAGCTAGTAATTCTTTGACAAAAAAAAGCTTCTAGTAATTGTTATTTTCTAATAAAATAGTATATACAATGTATTGAACATGTATAGCTAGATCAGTTGGCATCCGCCTAAATAAGATTTACTTTTAGCGTTAACCAAATTTTTTTTTGTTGATTTAATCAAAATCAGAACGTTTAGATGTTTCTAACCGTACAAACAGCCTGTTTTATATTACTGAATTTAATTTTAGTGTTGAAGTTAACATATACATATTCAACATTATCAACTGTGCCAAATCTGAGTTGAAGAAGAAAAGCTAGTCAAATCTGATAAATTCCTCACAAATATTCTAGAAAATTCCTCATAAATAACTCACTAAGAATTGAATGATGTCGACTTCGAATGGGAACATGACATTGGATATGTTTTTTTTTCATGTGATGCAAACGAGTTGCCTCTGCCAATGGAAACCTCTGAATAATAATACAAACCCCACACTTTTGGAACTCGATTCTTCTTCATATCTCTATCTTCACTTCAACCAATATTTATTATAAATTATTTAGACCACAGATTTATGGAGAACTAACATTGAATATGCCTCATACAGAATTATCTTTGCCATTTTTCGGATATCTTTGCCATTTAACAACTAGACTCTAAAAGTTATTTATTCAGACTAAAGGTGTCTTTTTTTTTTTCAGACTAAAGTTTTTAATGTTCGCTGAGTATGTTAAATCCTTTTATTTATTGATTAATTCTCACGGTAAACAAATATATAGTCATCGATCATGTGTATTAACTAGTAACGAATGACATCATTCTCGGATGAGCTAGTTAAATACTTTTATGGTATACATTTATGGTTTGATCAAAAACAATAAAATAAGTTTTAAAGTTTCACGTTTCTATGAGATTGATATGTACATCAAATGACGATACTAGAAAGATAAAAAAAAAAGGACGTACGTGTTTTTCATTTACCATGCATTAGTATATTTCTGCGGATATACATTATTTTTTCTTTTGTTTATTAGAATTACATGTTCCCTCGATTACATATCCATTCGTTGCAAAAAGAAAAAAGAGAAAAGTTCCCAAAATTATCCTTACATATAAGGACAAATGAAAATTATTGTCCACCAAGAACAATAATGGATGGATCAGATGATGAGTGAGGTAATTTATTAAAAGGTGAGATAATAGAAATTGGCGTAGATTTTTTTCCGATTTGGCATAATTGCTTATTGTAGACAATGATGCACGTTGGCATCATTATAGTTTTATTTCCTTTCGGTGCAATTTACCCTATTATATACCCAACTATCGATTATATGCTCACGACACGAGTTAATATGTACATATACTCAATTCATTTACCTGCCATAAGAATGATTATAAACAACAAATAAATCCAGAAGGAAAACAAGTTTTAATAAAATGCTATACTTAATTACCAGTCATTTCGCTTAAATACACGGACGTGCTATATCTTCAACTAAAGTGCTAGATCGATGTCTATTAAAAGGTAGATAAGATTTTACGCTCTCTTTAACGGCTATTAGTTATGATCTTACCCGTTTAATAATGCTAAACCTAATTGAAAGTTAACCTAACTATAAGAAACTTATTGTCACAAAATATTCAAAATAAATGATTCACGAGTCAGCAAGCATTTCATCCTATAACCTCTCACCTCTGAAAACTGAAATTTTCAACACCTAAGTTTGATTTTACTATTAGGCCAACAACTTTCGGTCATCACCTTATGCTTTTATCATTTTTTTTTTTGATAACCCAGTATCCAGACCACACAGTGATCTGACTAGCCCACTGGGCCTAAGCCCGCGTCACAGGGATTTTTAAGCCTCCACTTAAGGGCCCCCTGATAAACTGGTGGTCTGGGGCGCCTGAGCAAGTCCGCAGGTAAATTCCCAGGTGGCCACAGGAGTGAGAGAGCGAAACTGCGTCTGGGGAGGATCGATCCCTGGCCTAGACCAACAGGGCGATCCTTCCAACCAAACGAGAACCACTCGCCCACCACCATGTGGTTGCTTTTATCATTTACGGACCAGAAAATTCAAATTTGTTTATTTTCTTAAATACAAAGTAAGAAACTATACGTATGTATAAACTAGACTAGAACTAAATCTAATCATCTAAACTTATGTATTACTAAATGCAAAGCACCCCCACCCTTATTTTATCATCCAAACATATGTACTATATTTATACAAAATGGCACAACCGTGAGCAACTAAAGCAATGATTAAATAAAACAATATGGACCAAACTCAAATCCATTGAATTTGAATTATATATAACTAATACAACCCCCAAATCGGTTAGCCAGTTAATATATACATCTTCTTCATTAGACAATAAGACAGTCCCAACCATAAAATATAAATTAGACTTTTCAGACAACTAAAATGTTATGTATCTTCGAATACTTTTAAAATTTTATATACGTTATTGCTCATCACAAAAAAGCTAAATTTATCTACCAAACATTATAATGACCAGAAGATGACAATCCGGAGAAAAAAAAAACGCTTTTGCTTTTCCCCCGAATCAAACACCTTCGCTCGAATAATAAAATTATCAAATTCTCTTTCTCCTTAGTGGAAGCCACAACACAATTTATTTATCAACAACATTAAACATAAACTATGCAAAATATAAATGTCAAAATATTATTCGCCCATGACCAAACTCATCAGCTTGTATATCTGTACCACATTTGCTGACTCAGAGTTTGTTTTAAGTAACACAAATATTATAACATTGCTTTTGTAATCATTTGTTATTTAATTTTTCAGTATACAACTTTCATGTACTAAAAACAGGACGTTATATGGACCAACGCCATGTGCTCTCGACGAGACCAAAATAGGCCACTCGTGCAGAGAACATGTCCCACCAATCCCACACGCTTCTGGCCTCCAAACTCACACGTGTAAGCATATAATAAAAGATCGTCACCGTTGGTCAAAGTCCTCCCATCAACAACACATCTAACGGTTACGACTTGACCCAAAAACCACTGACTCTTGAAACGTTCTTTGATTTTTGACCCATGACCAGAATTTTAGTTGAATCTTTCAATCTTTAATTACTGACTTGTCATCAACATTAACACATTTAATACAACACTTGGGAATATTATTCAAAACAAATAAAATTAATTAGGTTAAAAAACGGTGACGCAAGCGTGCGTTTGACTCTCTCTTTTAAACCCACCTCCACTCACTTTCTCTCTTCACCTTTCACTTAGCATCATTCATCTTTCTTCCTTCCCCAAACACTTTCCCGCATTTTCTCGCCCAGATTTTCTCTGATTCTTTTGTCTTTTTTCTCTGATGGGGAGAGATGAAACTGAGACGTACATTACAGTGCCTAGTTTCTTCAAATGTCCTATATCTCTAGACGTTATGAGATCTCCGGTTAGTCTCTGTACCGGCGTGACTTATGATCGAGCCAGTATTCAGAGATGGCTCGATGGTGGTAACAACACTTGTCCCGCTACTATGCAACTTCTCAAAACTAAGGATTTTGTTCCTAACCTCACTCTTCAACGTCTTATCAATATCTGGTCTGATTCCATCGGCCGTTACAACACCGCTGGTTCTCCGCCGCCGTCTGATAGAGAAGTTCCGACGATTGAAGAAGTGAATGTGTTGTTGAAGAGATTGATGAGTCAAGAGAAAGACGATGAGATTTTGAAGAGGATCGTTCGATTCGTGAAGGATTCGGATTCGAACAGAGAGTTTCTCTCGAAGAAGAAGGAGTTTGTACCAATGCTCGTTGATATTATACGCACGAAGAAGATCGAGTTAGTTCTAATGGCGATTAGGATTTTGGATACGGTTAAAGGAGATCGTGAACGGTTATCGAATCTGATGTTGGCGAATGACGACGGAGATTGTTTAACGGCGATTCTCTTAGCGATTCAACGCGGGAATCTGGAATCGAAGATTGAATCCGTTAGAGTTTTGGATTGGATCTCATTCGACGCTAAATCGAAGCTCTTAATCGCAGAACGTGACGGGATTTTAACAGAAATGATCAAATCAATCAGTATCACTGAGTCAGATCCGAGTTTGATCGAAGCGAGTTTATCGTTTCTAATCACAATCTCAAAATCCAAACGAGTGAGATCGAAACTAATCGCCGCGAAAACAATCACGAAGATCAAAGACATTCTTATGACGGAGACATTAACAAACGTCGCCGTGACGGAGAAGTCTCTGAAGCTGTTAGAGACATTGTCGTCGAAACGAGAAGGGAGATTGGAGATTTGCGGAGAAGACAATGGAAGATGTGTGGAAGGAGTGGTGAAGAAGCTGTTGAAAGTATCGACGACGGCGACGGAACACGCCGTGACGATTCTGTGGTGTTTGTGTTATGTTTTCAGAGAAGATAAGACGGCGGAGGAGACGGTGGAGAGAAGTAACGGAGTGACGAAACTATTAGTGGTGATACAGAGCAACTGCTCGGCGATGGTGAGACAAATGGCGAAAGATTTGATTAAAGTGTTGAAGATTAATTCATCTGCTTCTTCTGCTTTGTCTGCTTACGAGACCAAGACTACTCATATTATGCCTTTTTGATTATTTTTATCATAAATAAAATGATACAAGTAATTGTTATCATCAAACTATTTTGAACCTAGTAGATGTTGTAAATCATAAGAGAAATTTTGTTAGTGTGATCGAGTTTACTAATATTAGCCTTAGCTTGTGTTAATTGAGAACTATACGATTAAAACTCATAGCAACAATTATACTATTTAAACTTATAGTATCCCTTTTATGTTTCAAATTTGTAGCGTATGTGCTCAAAAACACTATTTTGAAACAGTAAAGAAGGTTTAAAGATGGGAATGTACTTAAAAATATTTGCAATTCGAATCATTCTTATAAGAACGGCATAATTTCAAACATTTTTAGTTTATAAAATATTTGAATAAAACAAAACCAATAGTTTATAGAATCGTTTTGTAAGTTTGTAATAAGATGAGATGGTAGGGAAAGGAATCGAGTGACTAATATCTGATTAGTTTGATTTTGTAGTTAAGGCTATAAATAAAACTCTATGGTGTGACTAGATACTTTTGGTACAAAAGAATTCAAATGACAGCTTCGTGTACTAGATTAAGTTAAAGTATGGTTCACTGAATCTGACTAAAAGTTGTATTAATATGAGTTAAATGGATGGTTATACAATTTTGCTTATTACTAAACCAAAATAAAGGAATAAGGTTCCTTGGATTGAAGTGACAAACGAAAAATGGTAAGGTCTTGTAAACTAGTACCTTTAAATAAATTTAATTTTCTTTCTTGTTAGAGGACGTTGCAACATTTCATGGTCATGCCTCTCTCACACTCACCCGCTTTTTTTTCAATATTCTATCCTTTGTTCGAATTTTCATTTTGATTTGAATGGTACTTGCTTCAACATTTGATTTGCAACTTATTCGCTTTTAGTTATAAGATAAAGCATACTACATACTTGTAAAGACACGAAAAAGATTATCCTTTTGAATAGTATAGGAATCTATATATACACGTAAGTTTTTCAGATTGAATGAATATTTTATGATACTTTATACGATATAATAAAATGGTAGGAGTTTTATTAGTCGTCTATTACACTATATATCGTATTCGTTAGAAGATATTAACATTTATAATAGACGAATACAAATACGATATATTGAAATTTACCACATAGGACGATTGTTGTCTATAACGGATTTAACTATCTATAAATAAAGAACTTACCACATAGGACGTACACATAATCTAGAGAAAACCATATTGAAATTTACAAGAACATTGCACATATCAGCAAAAACAGTATTCGAAATGTGGAATATTATACGACATCTTTTTGAATTATAACGCTCTGCAGTAAGTTTGAGGGTCTCTTTCTTGGATGGTTCGAAATGAGATCGAACAAGTTAATTTGTTAGCCTATTGTAATTTGTTTAGATTGACTAAAACTTTGAAGATTAATTCATCTGTTTCTGCTTTGGCTGCTTACCAAGAGTGGAAGACCACTTATACTCTTATAGGCATGTTTCAATTTCTAAGCAACATAGACATTTGCCATGGGTGCAAAAATCATTTTCAAAAAATTTAGTAAAGAAAAAGAATCCATTTTTAGAATTCTTTGTTTAGTACGTAAGAGAGTTTAATTTTTTTATTGGTTTTACCAAGGATTAAGACGGCACTCACATCACGAAATTTTTGTTGTTTTTATAATATATATGAAAATTAAAATAGGAAATTTAATATGTCGTTATATGAATTGCATGTAAGATTATTCAGGAAAATAATTTTTCAATTTTTTGTTTTATGGATTAGAAAAACATAGTTCATTTCTTTTAAAAATGCACATACAAATTAGTATATGTAAATATATATTTATGAAAGGTGAGAAATTTTGTGTTTGTTTGTTTTATGCAAATTTTAATTAGTATATCTTTGATATTTTCTTCCTTCATTCTTTTGATCTCTTAGAGAAATCCCTATTGAGGGTTAAGCAAGTCAAATCTCATGTGAAAAGTGAGATTTTTGTTTGAGTTAGTTCATATGCAATTTTTTCGCTAATTTCTTTGTAAGAACTTTTTTAAAAAAAACTTTTAGATAAGGTCTTCCTCGTGGAAAAAGAAGTTGGGTTGAAGTTTAAGAAAATCAAATGGCATGTGAAATGTGAGATTTTTTTTGTTTGTTAGTTTCATATGCAACTTTTTCTCTGCTTTTTGTACGAGCTTTTCTCCCTTCATTTTTTAATCTTTTAGACAAGGTATTCCTTGTGGAAAAAGAAATTGCATTGAAGTTTAAGAAAATCAAATCGGTTACAACACTCGTGGTGTTTGGCGGAGGTAGTACAACATTTTGAAGAATGTCAATGTCCGTCGAATGGCCTCGAACCCCAATAGCTAAATTTCCGAAGATTTCCCCGCATTACCCGATGACAATCGCAGAAAAGTTTCTAAACGACCACATCGGATCATCTTCTAGATGACCCGACAGAACTAGAGTAAGCTAACTTATATCTATTGAACCTAAACATTTTTGGATTTATCCAATCTTTGGTTGAATCCGCTAAAGGTACTTATAATGTCTACGTTTTATCAGATTGTGTAATCAAAAATTAAAGTTTTTGGAATGTGCTACAAGTTTTGCATTTGTTTATTTTAAGTCATTCTTTGAGTTTTGCATTTGTTTTTTAAGAATCATTCTTTTTAAGTTTTTTCAAGTGTTTTTTCTCAATAAACACACATTTTAGCATTTTGTCCGCCTAAAATCTAATTACTTTCCATTTCCAACAAGAAACCTCATCTTTTTCAAATAGACCAACCAATTCTGCGCAAAGGCAACAAATGTAATTCCTAAACCAAAACATGAAATGCATCATAAATCTTTCCTCCAATACTAGTGAAAAGATGACATCACCATTCACCGGAAACAAAACTTGAAATGCATCATACATCTTTCACCGAGACAATACAACAAGAAACTTGAAATATAAGTGGCTTTTCTGTAAGCACAAGGACCTTTAATTAAATTTTCTTTTCTTTCTTGTTAGAGGACGTTGCATTTCATGGTTTTTTAAAATATTCTATCCTTTGTTCGAATTTTGATTTGAATGATACTTGCTTCAACATTTGATTTGCATCTTATTCTCTTTTAGTTATAAGATTTGTAAAGACATGAAAAAGATTATCCTTTTGAATAGTAGGAATCTATACACTGCACAAAGGTTTTCAGATTGAATAAATTTTTAAATACTTTTCGGATTGTTTGAAATTATTATTACACTCCAGAGTTTCAAACTCTGATTAACTGTTTGATTGGACCAAACTAGAGCTGATATGGGCTTTGGATAAACAAATGAAAGCCCGTTTCATCTGGACTTCCAGGTTCAATCGAATATACGTGATATCTCTTATGAAATTAAAATCAATCACAACGGATTTATAAAAATAACCAAAAGTAGCACACTTGATTAGGAAGGTTTATCGAAATCCAGGCGTGTACTAAGAAAGAAAGAAATTGATTGTTACCATATTTTTTAACTTCTAGAACATGTAATATTAAATTGAATTGTCACAAATAATTGTAATGTTAAAAACATTAAACTATATAACTGTGTGCCGTTGATAATGTTGATTCCTAAGATCTTTCCTACTGTTATAAATTGGATAATTATTATTATGATTATCCATATTTCTACTTAACCCTTAAGTCTCTTTGCCCCCAAGTAACTTGGCCTCCAAGCCACATCTTCTCCAAGTAAACGTCTCTATAAATATGTGTTGCTTTGTTGTAATAATGGGTGAGAAAGAGAATCGTTTCTATTCACGTCTCCTCTCTCTCTTACATGTTTTCTCTTCTTTTCATATGCAATTATTTGTTATATATAGTTATACACAAATATACACATATATATATATATACGTTATGATTTATAACACGTTATCAGCACGATGTCTTTACCGCTTGAGCGTTTACGAGGTAAGTTATAATTTCTGTTTTTTAAATTTATTTATGTTTATAGAACATAATTATTTTAGACATCGTAAGACTATGCCTTTTTCCGGTTTGATCGTTATAAATGGTAGGCTCTGCCTTCTTTACGATCAAATAAAAAGCTATGTCTTTTTCGGATAGATCGTTATATATGGTAGGCTATGCCTCCTTTACGATCAAATAAATGGCTATGCTTTTTCCGGATCGATCGTTATATATGGTAGGTTTTACCTTCCTAACGATCAAATAAAAATTTATATTTTTTCCGGATTGATCGATATATATGGTAGGCTCTGCCTCCTTCTCTACGATCAAATAAAAGCTATGCTTATTGAATTCTTAATGGAAGGCGATGCCTCCTGAATTCTTGCATAAAAAGACTTTGGTTTCTATATTATTAATTTTATGAATTTATATGTTTAATTATTTTTATTTATTTTATTCATAAAGAATAAATATATGTGTTATATGAGATTGAAAGACTTTGAAATATGTCTTTCAAAACAAAAATATATTTCTCTTATGAGAATATATAAAGCACGTGTCAATATATTTTTTTAGACAGTGCAAAATAATTGGAGGTCTAGATGAGCTAGTCTCTCGACTTCCAAATGCATCAGATTCATAATAATCGATGCTTCGTGTTTTCCAAAGTCTCAAAGAAACTCGTGTAGTTTCAAAGATATTTATTTTTATAATTATTATATTGAGACTATAAATAAATGTGGTATTGAATGTCCGACCACAATGGAGACATGTAAATGTATGATTATATCATGCAAAAAATAAAGATGGCAAAATATTTATGATAGTAAACTGAGGTTTGCTAATTGCTATAATATAGCGTAACCGGTCAAGCCATCCCGGTATAATAATGCAATTAATAATGATGATCCAGATCCGGAATCCGTATCAGTGCCAGCAAAGGCCTGATTAAAAAAAAAGGTGCAATATATTAAATTGCTCTTCCTTAAAAGAGATGTCTTTGGACATCTTGTCACTATATCTAAAGATGTAAAACCTTTTATGTACAAGTGGGTCTTCGTGTCAAAAGTATACAATCACACGATATAAACCCCGACTTATTGCACAAGGTTTTTCTCAAAGACCAGGAGTTGATTAGATAAAAAAAAAAATTCTCCGGTCATGAATGTAATTACATTCAGGTACACAACGAGCCTAACGGTCTCTTATCATTTAGAATTGTACCTTATGGATGTAGTGACAACATGTTTATATGGATCGTTGGATTTAATATATACATAAAAATCCTAGAAGGATTTAAAGTTCCTAAGCCATTAGACTCAAAGTCTAATGAAATATGTACGGTCAAATTACAACGATCACTTTACGGATTAAAACAATCCGGACGCATGTGGTATAATCGTTTAAGCGATTATTTATTAAAGAAAGGGTATGTTAATAATGAAATATGCCCTTGCGTCTTTATTTAAAAATCTCTTTCGAGATTTGTGATCATTGTTGTATATGATGATGACCTAAACATAATTGGAACTCAAAAATAGTGATTAAATATCACTTAAATTTTATGTAAAGAAAGAGAAGCCTATTCAAGCACTGCATGCTTCCGTCCACATTTCGGAGGTAACATTTAATTTATGTTGAATTTATTTAAGTTTATTTAAATTCATTTGATTTTTATATTATATCGAGTCGAAGGTTGTATACCTTCTCTTTAATTCTGTAGTAGGCTAAGCCTCCAGAAGCATATGATTTTTGGCCAAATCACCATTTTTTTTATTTAATAAGCTCATTGTATATGCTGGTTGATTTCTTCAATAATCCCCAAATTAAGCCCCGAATATAACCGATCTAAAAATAAGATTCGGTCCAAGATAAATAGGCTTGAAAAGCCATCATCTTGGGAGGGGTTATTACAAGTCCCATATTTTTATAAGGATCTAAGAATAAATACATGATCCGTATTGGATATGTTATTGATCCTAAAGTGGGATTCAATTCGAGATGAATAAACTCGAAGAGTTATCATCTCGAGGGGGAGAATTAAAGGAATCCCACATCGACAATAAGTCGATAAATTTTGGTGAATTTGACACCCTAGAGCGAAATAACTCTGGTGAAATCATATCGTAAAATTTATCACTTTTTGATAAAGTGGAACATCTAAAAATAATGTTCACTCTCAAAATGAGCTTTAAGCGAATCGTTCATAGCGCAAATCCAAGAGATTGCAAAACGATTCATGGTGATTTAATCTCCATATTTTTATATGGATCATGCAGTTTTGCATGTATTAATGATTATATACAAGGCCAACGATTTATAAGAAATATTTCTTCCATGTTTTATATACATGATTGGAGATCAAATATTTCTCATTTTTAAATTTTATGGGTGTGAGATATATGTTATAAATGCTCCTCTGCACCGCATAAAAATATCATCAAAAAAGGATGAAATATATAGACGCTAGAGATGAGTCTCTGCTCTATAATATTGAGCCATCTTATGAGAGATGTGCCTATTGCAAGATTTGCAAATCATCATGTTGATGATAAAAATTCCCCATCATTATGGGAGAATCATTGAATAATTTGGATCTTTGAACAAATGACTATAAAAAATATGAACTTTAGAGTTCAAAAGTTCAAAAGGATCATTATTCAGAATATATTGCAAATCAAATGCAAAAAGCTGATGGATGAGATTTCATGAAATTATTGATCCTCGTAGATATGCATATGAACTTAAAGTTCATAAGAAATCTCTTGTCCCAGCTAAAAATGCTCTACAAAAATATGTCTCTGGCGGATGACATATTATTGTCTATAACACGTAAAAAACGTGATAGACAACTTTGGTTCCAAATATAAAGAAAATCCTCGAAAATAAAAATGAGCATGTTATTACTAAAAAGGAGGATTAAACTCTTCAAAGAGGAGCATATAGACTTCTAAAGAGGAGCATAGAGACTCTTCAACAGGAGCAAAGAGACTCCTAAAGAGAAGTAAAAAGACCGATTGGCATGGTTAAAGATGAAATCAGGTACCTGAATAAAATAATTTATAATGATTAAGAGATCTCGATTAACCATGTCATTACGGTAAATATGGAACCAAAGACAACATAATGTCGACAATAAAAATGATCTAGCGCGCAAATGTAATTAATAATTAAGGATCATAAATCTCTGCTCTGTGAGCGTAAAGAGATATATATTGGCCAATAAATAAAGACGCAGCCAAGTCTATACTAATCTCGTATAAAAAACGAGTAAATCTTGGACACATGGTCCATGCATAAAAAAAAAAGTATTATGATACTTAAGACAAGACGATGTGTCGCGCCGTATTTTGTCAAAATCACTCTATATTGAGTTGATGAATAAATGACTTGAATTGCGCCTCATGGGATGTCTGTAGGACTAATCCCTGAAAGATATATGATATCATAGTTATATTCCCGGGAACTTATAAGCATGATGTTTTTGAACATCATCAAAACTCTTAAAGAGTTATTTGGAATAAAAGATCTTGGAAAGACAAAAGTGTCTCCAGATATTCCAACTAAACATCTAAAGAAAGAGATGTTATATTAGTCACTTCTAAAAGAAGTCGACTCTATATAGTTTGATCATGAAGCACTGTATATAAATGCTGACGAGTATTTATATATTTTGTGAATTGTAGCTAGCATATATAAATGCTGACGAGCATTTATATATCTAGTGAATATATTATACCTAGCATTTGCTACTGATCTACTTGCAGGATTAATTCATTTCCTCCGACTAGACCTTGAATGAGTTCAAATGTGTCTTCCACTATCTGCAAGGTACGATTGACTTGGGCTTATTTTATTCTAGAAACCCCGAGTTTGGTTTTGTTGGTTTCGCAGATGGAGGAACTATATCAGATCTGTCTAAATATATATCGCAAAACAACAACTTCGTGGCGTTTCCAACAACAAATTTTGGTCGTCGCTTGTTCAAGTCATGCCAAAATTATTGCGCTTCATGAAGCACGTCGAAAAATCGAAAGCTATGTCAAGATCGATATGACAAGACATGTTCTCCCAAGATTCTTCTCATGCACTCAAGAATCTGAGAAGAAGCAAGAAGTTGATGTTCAGTACATCTGACTAAGTACCAATGTAGCAGTTTTAGTTCAAAGGCGCTTCCTGCTACAACACTCAAAACATCTTCGTAGATCAAAAGGTCTCTTTTGAAGAAGATGCTTCCAGGGGGAGACATATGATGATGAGCGTGGCTGCACTCTTTTTCCCTTATCATGGTTTTTATCCCACTGGGTTTTTCCATGACAAGGTTTTTAACGAGGCAGCAAATAACACGCAAAAGATAGACATCAAAGTGAAGGTCTATCTCTCTTCAAAAATCTTTGTCATACATTGACGAGATCAGAAGAAGCAAAGAGAATAATCGAGATGCATCATCTACAAAAGCTATACAGAGAACAAGACTCGTCTGTTCTAGGGGGAGATTGCGTCACTGTACTCTTTTTTCCTTATCATGGTTTTTATCCCACTGGGTTTTTCCATGACAAGGTTTTTAACGAGACAGTACGTAATACTCGATAATTATGGATAATCAAGGGGGAGTGTTATAAATTGGATAATTATTATTATGATTATCCATATTTCTACTTAACCCTTAAGTCTCTTTGCCCCCAAGTAACTTGGCCTCCAAGCCACATCTTCTCCAAGTAAACGTCTCTATAAATATGTGTTGCTTTGTTGTAATAATGGGTGAGAAAGAGAATCGTTTCTATTCACGTCTCCTCTCTCTCTTACATGTTTTCTCTTCTTTTCATATGCAATTATTTGTTATATATAGTTATACACAAATATACACATATATATATATATATACGTTATGATTTATAACACCTACTAATTTTCTAAGACATTAAGGGGGTGTTATTCGTTAGTGGATATTAATAGAGTTTAACTCTAACTCAAATCTAATGTTATTGGTTCTCGGATTGTAAATACAGATTTCAAATCAAGTGTTATTGGTTCTCAGATTTCTAATGTCTATACCAAAAGAGTTTAAAATCAAGTGTTATTGGTTATCATATTTCTAATATCTATTTTAAAAGAGTTTGAAATCTAGTGTTATTGGTTATTATATTTACAATGATCAATTAAAGTTTCATGTTATTGGTTGTTTGACAGATTTTCACAAATGTTTTGATTTGAAAAGATATGAAGGAATCTGAAACTGATTTCATGTGTAAATTATAGCAATCAAAATCCTACCTTCTACTCAAGATTTTCACTATCATATTTTTATAATTATAAAATCTCATTTATGAGAATAACCAAAAATCTTTTTTTTTTCCTTTCACGTCTTTGGAGTACTTTCTTCTCTCCTTCTTCTCTCATTTATATGTACCATATACAATTCACGTGAAACAAACATTTCTCCTCTCACGTCGTCTACGTCACGTTCCGCTGCATCACAAGGAGAAATAGTGAGGAATAACTGGACTTTCTTCTCTCCTTTTTTTTATTTCTTCTTCCCTTTCACGGTAAAGTCTATCTCTCTTTATCATTATAGTCATGGCTAGTTACTTTGATTGAGAACAAATTAATTTTTATCACTTTTGATCTTACTATTACTATAGTTTTATTGTAGGCTTTTATATAATGGAACAAAATCTTTATGAGGAAGATGAATCAGATGTAGATATTATGTTATTGATGGTGGTTGGATCCGTTGATGCTTATGAAAGTCAAATCCCACGTCCGATGCGACGACAAATCACAAAAAAGGGACACGCTTATATACAAAAGGCTTTGAAAGATGATCCTATTCATTTTCGGCAACTATATCGTATGAATCCAGAGGTCTTTGCGGATTTATGTTATCTTCTCCAAATTAAGACATGTTTGAAAGGTACACCACATGTGTGTGTCGAAGAGATGGTTGCTACTTTTTTGATGACAGTGGGCCAAAACTCAAGATATTGTCACACAATGGACACTTTCAAGAGATCAAAATTCTCAACAAGTATTAATTTTCATAAGGTTCTTAGAGCTTTAAACATGCTTGCACCGACATTGATGGCCAAGCCTACAAATACAGTCCCTGCGAAAATAAGCAAAAGCACAAGATTTTATCCTTACTTCAAGGTACGTATCTTTCTTGTGTGAATACTATTTGTTGAAGTTTTATATAAACAATTTTGAATACATGTTAGGATTGTGTTGGAGCTATTGATGGCACGCACATAAATGCAATGGTACAAGGTCCTGAGAAGGCTAGCTACCGTAATCGAAAAGGAGTCATCTCGCAAAACGTATTAGCTGCTTGTAACTTTGATCTTGAGTTCATATATGTTCTGAGTGGATGGGAGGGTTCTGCTCACGACTCTAAAGTTCTACAAGATGCTTTAACAAGAAGAACTAATAGATTGCAAGTTCCAGATGGTAATAGATTGCAAGTTCCAAAAGGTAATTTATCATATGATAATTTATTTCTAATAGTATATTTCCATGTTTCAGGAAAATATTATTTAGCGGATTGTGGGTTTCCAAACCGACGTAATTTCTTAGCTCCACTACGAAGTACACGTTATCATCTACAAGATTTTCGTGGTGAAGGACGTGACCCAACAAATCAGAATGAATTGTTTAACCTTCGCCATGCATCTTTAAGAAACGTTATCGAGAGAATTTTTGGTATATTTAAATCAAGGTTCTTGATTTTTAAATCAGCACCACCATTTTCTTTTAAGACCCAAGCAGAGATAGTTCTTGCATGTGCTGCCTTACATAACTTTCTTCGCCAGAAATGTCGGTCAGATGAATTTTCAAGTGATGAAGAAGATGAAACAGATGTTGACAATGCAAATCAAAATTCTGAAGAAAATGGTGGTGAAGAAAATGTTGAAACCCAAGAGCAAGAAAGAGAGTATGCAAGACATTGGCGAGCAACCATAGCTGCAGATATGTGGAGAGATGCTACTAATATTGGTAGCCAAAGATAATTACTTTTTATAAAGTTCATGTTTTTTTGTCTTTCTTCGGTCTCGATGTTCTCGTGTTTGGGCTGAAAGATTTTTTTTTGAACCCTTTACAGTTTTTTTAATTTTTATGAACGAGTTATTTTCTATGACGTTTACCTTTTCAATTTTTTTATAGTTTAAAAACAATAATACATTGGCATTACGATGATGGAATCATATCAAACAGAATATTGCACATGATCATCATAATATTCTTATTGCTACTAAACGATAGAATCATATCAATTAGAATATTAACATGATCATCATAATATTATCACAAAATATTAATCTAATCTTCATCTCTACGATAGCACTATCTCTATAAATGTCACGTACGTCTCTCCTCTCAAAGCATAAGAGCTCATTAGACTCCACAGAAAAAGGTACTCTTGTTCTTATGTGTTTTTTTTTTGTTACGTTCTTATGTTTTTATGTTGGAAGTGTGATATTGATTACCTTTTGAATAGTTAAATTTTGTTTCCCATCAGACTTTATCTTTGCTTTTTGCATTGACGTATGGTTATTTCTAATTGTTATTTGTTCATTAATATATTGTAACTTTTTCATGTTTTAACGTATACTGTATTTGGTTTTGAAATTTGATGTACCCATAGATATCACTATGGGAGATGCAGAACCAAAGAAAAAAAAGGGGAATAACAATCCGTGGTCGCCAGAGGAGACTAAGCTGTTGGTACAACTTCTTGTGGAAGGGATCAATAATAATTGGCGTGATTCTAATGGCACAATGAGTAAATTAACCGTGGAGACGAAGATTTTACCAGAAATCAACAAAGAGTTTCGTCGTTCAAAAAACTACAATCACTACCAAAGCAGAATGAAGTATTTAAAATTACAATACCAAAGTTCTCTTGATCTTCAACGTTTTAGTTCTGGTTTTGGTTGGGATCCTTCGACAAAAAGATTTACTGCTTCTGATGAAGTTTGGGACGATTATCTAAAAGTAAGTCTCTCATTTTTCAAAGTGAACATAATTGTATTTACATGTTATTAATATGTCCTTCTGTTTTTGTAGGCACATCCGAACAACAAACAACTTCGTTATGACACATTTGAATTTTTTGAAGAGTTGCAAATCATATTTGGGGAAGGTGTTGCTACTGGAAAAAATGCAATTGGATTGTGTGATAGTACGGATGCACGTACGTACAAAGCTGGGGAGAATTCAAGAGAAGAATATGTGAGTGATTTTGACAACGGGTATGAGTATGATACAACAACTCATCATGAGTCATCAGAGCATTACGCACCATTCATGTCTCATGGAACTTCAGAAAGTCCAACGGAGAAGCTTCCCCCACGTAAAAGAACAAGATCTGAGAGAAGTACTTCACAAAAAGAAGAAAGTCCTATGATGGTTGTTAGCAGTAAAATTTTGGATATAATACAACAAAGAGAAGAGAGGCAACAAAAAGAAGTGGCACAAAAAAAAAATAACGTTTGGGATGCTCTAAAAGAAATTTCTGATTTGGATGAACGTATTCGTTTCAAGGCACTTACCAAGATTTATCATTTGGGAATACAAGACGTTTTCGTGAGCATGTCGGTGGAAGAGAGGCTAGGATGGATTCAAACCAGTATGGAATAAACCAGTAGCATTTTTTTTTGTTAAGATTGTTATCACGTTGCATTTTTTGAACTTTGTTTTTATTTTATTTATTTTTAAAGTTTTAATTTGAAATCACCAAAGGTTTATGAATATTCTTTAGCATATGTTTCTTTTGTTAAAACTTCGAAACATTAGAAAAACTTGAAATAAGAAAAGAAAAAAATGGTCAAAAGTTTTGTTGGATTTTGATTAGATTATAAAAATCATCTGTTATTGAGTTCAGTTCTGTTATAGAAAACCAAATGACATCACGTATCATTGAAAATGCACTTCCATATATTTGACAAAATGAATAGTGGTTCACTTTGAATGAACCCAAAATATTTGAAATCTGATAGACTTTAACTCTAATGGAGTTGATTTTAACTTCACTAACCAATAACACCACCTAAGACAAGAATGGTAGTTTCCTAATTGAGCATGTGCTGTAACAGTTTGGTTGGAGACACAAAAAGTCAACATTTCTGAAAGTCAAACTAATCGTTCTGATGACTTTTTTTTTTTCTTCTTTTTTGTTGTTTTGGTCAATTTTCTCAGTCGCCAAACATTCAATTCACAAAAACCAAACAGAGAACAAACACAAACAAAATTCGATTCTAAGAGGAAACTCCCAAATTTTAATGGATCCGTCGGATTATTTTGCCGGCGGAAATCCTTCCGATCAACAGAACCAGAAGCGGCAGCTTCAGATCTGTGGTCCTCGTCCTTCACCTCTTAGTGTCCACAAAGACTCTCACAAAATCAAGAAACCTCCAAAACACCCTGCGCCGCCGCCGAATCGTGACCAACCACCGCCGTATATTCCTAGAGAGCCGGTGGTTATCTACGCCGTATCCCCCAAGGTTGTACACGCCACCGCGTCGGAGTTCATGAACGTCGTCCAGCGACTCACAGGGATCTCCTCTGGAGTTTTCCTCGAATCTGGCGGCGGTGGAGATGTTTCACCGGCGGCGAGGCTAGCGTCGACGGAGAATGCTAGTCCAAGAGGAGGAAGAGAACCGGCTGCGAGAGATGAGACGGTGGAAATCACTATGGAAGAAGCAGCTGAGTTTGGTGGTTATGCTCCGGGAATTCTCTCGCCATCTCCGGCGATGTTGGCAACAGCTTCTGCCGGGATATTCTCTCCGATGTATCATCAAGGTGGGATGTTTTCGCCGGCTATACCACCGGGATTATTCTCGCCGGCGGGATTAATGTATAGTCCTGGTTTTGCTAGTTTGATCGCTTCTCCAACATTTGCTGATGTCTTTAGAAATATTTGGGATCCTTAGAGAAAAAGTTTAGATTTTTCATTTGCTCTGTAATTTTTTTGTATTATTATGTATTTTGACATATCCAAATATCCAATGTAGCCCAAAGGGTTTAAAATGAGCTTCATGTATAAAAATTTAACTTTCAAAAATTTCAGAGAGATTCCTAGAAAGTAAAACTTGTCTGCAAACTATATATACAGGAGTTACAAGATTCTCCTGACCTAAGATACTCTAATAAGTTTGTGTTTTGAGAAGATGCTTCATGTAGTAGTTGTAACAATAGAGTTCCAAGTTCCTCCTATCAATGTACCGACTCTCTCTCCTTTGATTGCTTTTGCGATGTTTCCAGGTTCCGATAGATTGAATACCACAACTGCAAATTCACAGAGACAAGATAAGCATTCTTGTTGTATTTTATAGATCAAGTATGTCTGAGAGAGTGTTTTAGAAAACAAACCTGGGATGTTATTTTCTTGACACAAAGTGATAGCAGTCATATCCATTACAGAGAGGTCCTTTGAGGTTACTTCTTGGTAAGTTAGTGAGTCGAGAAGACGAGCGTTAGGGTTTCTTTTAGGATCATCATCAAACACTCCATCAACATTTGTTGCTTTCAGCACTACTTCTGCATTAACTGTACCCAATGCGAAAAGTATTTTTTTTTAATGATGTGAGTGATAAATGACTCATTTAGAAAACTTAAAAACGGAAACCACCTCTTACTTACTTTCAGCACATCGAAGAGCTGCTGCAGTATCGGTGGTGAAAAATGGATTGCCTGTTCCAGCTGCAAATATAACAACCCTTCCTTTTTCTAGATGTCTAATTGCTCGTCTTCTTATGTAAGGCTCTGCTACTTCCGACATGCGGAAAGCGGTTTGAACACGGGTTGGGATGCCGATACTCTCCATTGTCGCCTGAAGAAATATTGCATTCATCACAGTTGCCAGCATCCTATCAAAATTCAGATGAACCAATGAGACCAAAAACCTCCAACAGGGGAAAATTCTAGATCTTCTCCAAGTAAGAAGAACAAGATCATTTGACACAAAAGGCGTAAAAGTTCAGAAAAACAGAGTTGTGCGGCACCAGCGTCAAGAGTGGATATGATTACCCGATATAATCAGCAGAGGAGCGATCAAGGCCACTGCACCCAGCCCAGGTAGATCCACGAAAGATATTTCCTCCTCCAACAACAATAGCAACCTATTGTAAAGGCGTAAGAACATCAAGACAGAGCATACACAACATTGCAATGATTATTCTCAATTACCCAGACCCATCATCTGTTGCACTAGCATGTTTAAAGCATAATAAATTTCTAATTTTAGGTTGTGTAATCCCATAAATCTCCACCCCTGAACTCAAGCTCCCGTTTTTTTGTAAGTTTGAGCTAATTGATTTTCAGCATAATTTTGTTACTTCTACATAAGCAACTATCAAATACTTAGGGTATTATGCATTTATCATACTTTGTCAATCAACATGTCTAGGAAAGAACTCAAAGCTTAATACCTATCCACTAAAATTTTTTGAAACCATGGTCACAGTGACAACTAGAACAAGAATGTTTGAATGAAGCGTTTCGAGAATAACCTCAATGCCAAGTCGAGTCACTGCTGCAACTTCCCTTGCAATCGCCATAGTAACCTAATTAATGGGAAACTGGATGAGACTTCTGACGAAGGAAACAGAGAACAAAGAAAGCAGAAACAAGGAGGTTTATTTGGCATCACAAAAACCTTTGGATCAATATTTTGTTCCTCGTCTCCAGCAAGAGCTTCTCCACTGACTTTGAGTAAAACCCTTCTCCATTTAAGCGGTGGTTTGGATGTTCCATCAAAGGAAGGCATCCGTGGAAAAGATGACTGCCCGTTTAAGCTACTGAAAATTACAGATGATAGCAACAGAGTTTTAACAAAAGCAGCCAAAGTTCCAAACTTCATAAATGGGTTAAGATTTACCTCAACCAAAACAATAAAAAATCAGATTTACAATATATTTTAATAAAGTCTTAAACCCTAAACCCAAAATTGTCTTCATTGACGAATTTTTACAAACACCTAGTGTGCATAAAGTTATAAATTGAAGTTTAATAATACCTCCCGTTCCCGTTTCCGTTCATGGAATCTGGAGATGAACCATTGTCGGAGGACAAAGAAGAAGAGCAGCTGATAAGTACACGCCTACAATTCTGGTTGGAGAAGAAAGTACGATTGCGAGGTGTGAGAGAGACGAAGGAGGTTCGAGAAATAGACGAAGAAGTTGAGATTGGCGAGCAAGAGGTGAGAGGCAACGGAATTGCCATTGCCGGAGAGATTTAAGAAGAGATGATTTACTGGTATATTCAGTAGAGAATCGTCGCCGGCGAATACGGGGTTTTGAGTTTGCGAAGATAAGGTCTGGTTCCAATGTAATTTTACTAATGAATCTTGGCCGTTTTTAGTTCGACACTGTTGTGATATATTTTTGACAATACCCCAAATAATTCACTATATTTAATGTTATCTTTATCATACAAAAGCGAGTAAGTTTCACTAAATTCTAAATATATTTATAAGTTTAAGATTTTAACATACTGTTACAGTTATATACTTCTAAGAAAAGTATTATTTAATCAAATTTAATTGACACCAATTTTAATGCAAGGACTACATTTAATAATAACACTATTATATTTCTATTGATTAATGGGTTTGAAAGAAATACATTTGTATCCTACAAGAGAAGTGAAGAACCACAAAGCACTCCTATTTTCATTTCAATGACTTGAAAATTTATGAGTTTTCTTATCAAGTTCAAATTTTAAAGTTTACTGCATATAAATAACATTGTTTGAAGAGTGAAATTAAATTCCTTGCTTTGCAACGACGTAAAATTGTGTAACACTAAAGCTTAATCCTTTAAATATTCCTAGGAAAAGTTATAAGTAACAAACACAAGAGAAACGAAAAGGATGAAAATCTTGAAATATTTCATGATAAATGGTACCAATGGTCAAGGATCATTCGTATTACACAGGTTAATGTTTAATTACTTAAATCCTTCACTCTTTTCTTTGTCCTTGAAACCTTCCTTCAAAGGGAAGTCACCACTCTTTTAACACTTTACTCATGTCTCTCTGTTCGAATAACGGAAAGCTCTGTTTGCTTTTACAAAAATTATAAAAGAACAATTTCACACTTAAACAAACACATACCACTAGGTTTCTTGCGGGAGAAGCAACCGAAAAATGGATACCGAAAAAGGTTATCCAAGAGGTTTCAGAGCAGACAGTTTACGAACAGAAACAGGCCGCATAAGTTTTCGATCAGATAGTATGCAGATAGATGAAGCAGCCGAGCTACAACAAGGCGAGATACAACAAGAGAACTCCACCTATCTTGTCCTCTTCAAGAACATAGACAGTGGAAACTTGGAAGCGACGAAAGAGTTCTTGGACCGAAACCCTGAGGCTTTAACCGCAAGCTTAACCTCTAACGGAGACACACCAATCCATAAAGCTGTTTTGTCGGGTCACATCAAGATCGTGGAAGAGATCATTAGACGAATTCATGATCCAGAGCAAGAGTTAAAGATCAAGAACGATAATGGTTACACAGCGCTTACTTATGCTGCCACTGGTGGAATTGTGAGAATCGCAGAGTGTTTGGTGAATAAATGTCCCGGTTTGGTTAGTGTTCGGAATGCGAAAGAGCATATACCAATGGTGGTGGCTTCGTTGTACGGTCACAAACATCTGGTTCAGTATCTTTACAATCACACACCTCTCAGTGATCTTGATCCTGGTGATGATTCAGATGAACACAAGGGCAAGAACGGAGCGATGCTCGTGACAAATTGTATAGTAGATGGATTATATGGTAAGTTCCTAATTAATGATTTATAAATGTTTGTGTATTATATATTATTTGTTCTTGAGATGTGACTAATGTAGCGCATGTAAGAAGGTATTGCTTTGGATCTGATTCAGAGGTATCCTAAGTTGGCTTATACTCGAGACAGTGATAACGATACAGCGATCATTGCGCTTGCTCAAACGCCTCATGCGTTCCCTAGCGGTACCTGTCTTGCGTTTTGGCAACGGTGGATATATTCTTGTGGGTATACACTTAATTAGCTTATGCTTATTAAAAGAATATTATCTATAACGTTTATATGATTATTAGGGAGTTCCGTTTTATTAGCTAGGCTTTAATTTTGTTGAGATTGAGAGTTATATATCGTTAAATTCATCGTTTTTCTCTTGAAGGTGTTCACATAGAGAAGATTAATAACCCGCATGAAGTTCATAATCATCATCAACATCAATATAGGAAATCACAAGATCATAATCGGATTCAAGAAAAGTTGTTGAAACACCTCAAATTTCTTTGTAAGCAGTAATTTATAACCATCCCAAATTGTGAGCCCTCGTTGTTAATTTTTATCAATCTTAGATTGAAATTTCCTATTGACAGTTCCACACATAATTAGACGTGTATACAAACTGAAGCTAGGGCATGCTCAAGCCAAAGAAATACTAGACTGTATCTGCCAAGAGATACCAAAATTCGACGCGGCCCAACAGAAGAACGCTGGCCTAAACCAAGCTCTCTTTAAGGCGGTAGAGAATGGTATAGTAGAGTATATCGAGGGAATGATGAGGCATTATCCTGATATCGTATGGTTCAAAGATAGTTGTGGTCTTAACATCTTCTTCTACGCGGTAAGCCAGAGACAAGAGAAGATCTTTAGCCTCATTTACAATATGGGTGCTAAGAAGAACATCCTCGCTACAAACTGGGACAAATTCCATAACAATATGCTTCATCATGCCGCTTATCGAGCCCCAGCCTCACGGCTTAATCTCATTCCTGGTGCAGCTCTTCAGATGCAAAGGGAACTACAATGGTTCAAGGTGATGCATATTTATATTCCTTGGTCACTAGGCAAAAACGGTTTATGTGCAACAGGAATTTCTAGGATTATAACTCTGTTTTCAACATATAGAGATTTTTCCTCCGACCATAATCCAAGGAGTTTTTAATTGCTGTCTTTGTTTGCAGGAAGTGGAGAGGTTAGTGCAACCGAAGCATCGAAAAATGGTTAACTTGAAGCAGAAGAAAACTCCAAAGGCTCTGTTTACAGACCAACACAAGGACCTCGTGGAGCAAGGAGAGAAATGGATGAAAGAAACAGCAGCTTCTTGCACAGTAGTAGCCGCTCTAATCACGACAATGATGTTTTCCTCGGCGTTTACTGTCCCCGGAGGTTACCGTTCAGACAATGGCATGCCACTCTACATCCACAAGCACATGTTTAAGATTTTCCTCATCTCCGACGCTATCTCTCTTTTCACATCATGCATGTCTCTCCTCATGTTCCTCGGCATTCTCAAGTCTCGCTACCGTGAAGAGGATTTTCTTCGATCACTTCCGACAAAACTGATCGTGGGTCTTTTGGCTTTGTTTCTGTCGATGGCGACGATGATGGTGACTTTTGTCGTGACGCTCATGACTCTGGTTGGAGAGAAAATCTCGTGGGTTTCGGCTCAATTTATGTTTCTTGCGGTGATTCCGCTGGGGATGTTCGTTGTTCTTCAGTTTCCTGTTTTACTTGAGATCTTCTGCTCGACTTATTTCCCTAGAGTTTTTGATAAGCCTCCCCAGTCTCGGCGAATGTTTAAACTTTTCTCGAGATTTTAATGATAATGATCAAATTAATAACTCTATAGACTATTTCACTTAGGTTTGATCAGAAAGTTTCTCGACCGAGTTTTCTATTCGTTTGTTAGACGGACTAATCAAGTTGTTGAGATGCTGCATACACAAAAGATATTTGTTTTACAAGTAGAAGAATTTTGATGCTCTTGAAGAATCACTAGACTCCTTATTAAGGCAATGCTCTTAAAAGTTCAAAGCGAGTCTTAACTAAACAAATGGATTATGGTTTTAGTGTTTAAGAAATGGGTTGGCCTCTCTTGATTAGTAATGCATTCAAGTCCATATCAGCTATTACTTCTACAGTTCTACTTTAAAAACATAAAATAATAAGACAATCAATTTCTCATCAGTGGTATATTCATGCTATAAACCCTGTTTTTTTAACATGAAATATGCACCAATACCTACACTAGTTTCTTTCTCTCCTACCTTTCATATGTAGCACTTATGTTGCATGGAAACGGAAACGGAAACGCGGAAGCGAAACGTTTCGGAAACGAGAAACGATTTTTTCTAAAATTAGGGGTTGGAAACGTTTTGGAAACGTATACACATACATATATAATATATAACATATATATAATATATAACATTAACTTAAAACTATATTAAAAATGGTTTAAACAATACAAGTTTAAAACATCAAATATTAAATAGGTTAACTAAAATTCTAAAAGATAAAATTTAAAAGATTCGAATTCAAATATTTAATTTAGACCAACATATTTATTCTCTTTTTCATTAGTTTCATCAAAGATCATATAAGACTGCATCCAAACCTGGTTTGTAGAGAGAAAGATCTTAAAACTCAGAGTCTTCCAAAACTAGTTATATGTATGATAAATCTTAATATTTCTTATTTTTATATATTAAGTTTCCAAAGTCAATAAAACGGATTTGTAGCGTTTCCATTTTGGAAACGTGAGTTTCCATCGTGTTTCCAAACATAGATTTTTAGGAAACGCGTTTCCGTGATGTTTTTCGTGTTTCCGAAGAGTTTCCGTTTCCGAAACGTTTCGGAAACGGGAAACGGACCTCGGAGAGAGTTTCCATGCAACATAGGGCCACTTATAATGTTCTAATCGGGCGTTTATTTGATATATCAATGAACCATTATTTTGTCGATTTAACATTGTGATATTCGCATTTTCAGATGAATAGACCTTAAACACCCGATTTTTAGAACTTTGATCTTAATGGATTATTTGCAAACAACTGTATCGATATGTAAAATAAAATTTTAATATTTCAATTTTTTTTCCCAATAGTCAACAAGAAAATACTGTTTGGTGAAAGTGTTGGTCCTTGGAAAGGAAAGATGTACAAGATACGAAAATACCTTTGCTTCGCTTTGCTTCCAATACAATGCCATTTGTCAACAACATATGTTCATTCGAAATTTCGAACGTATATGTGTATGTACGTAAAGATTATTACGGTCCCAACACAAATGAATAAACTTATGTTCTAATATTGTGAGTCTTTATTTTTAGATTAATACTAGATATTTCGAATAAAAATTGTGTTATTATATGATATATCTTGAATCATACGTAGCGATGGGTGCAAGGCTCTTATCAAAAGCAAATCTGGTCTTTAGAGTCCCCACCTTCTCCTATGTGCAATTTAGCTACTCTTTCAGTCCTCTGATTGACATATGTTCCCACCTGTCTTTGTTTTTCCAAGTCTTAATGAGCTTAGAAGTTAATTAATTAAATCATTCTAATCTCGTACCATTTCTCGGATCTTATCATTTATGCTATATTATATTCCTTCATCTAAACCATATAATATTTCCTCACATATACGATTTTCTTTTACTTTATTTGATTCTGTCAAATTAAGAAAATTAAGTAAAATACAAAATGTGAACATTTAATACTTCGTAGAATTTTGGTTCTGTGATTTAATCTCTCTGGATCAAATGCTCAAATGTATATAACCCATTTTCTTTATAAGAAAAAAAACTGTATCCATCGGTGAAAAAATCGTATCAACCGACCGCCAAAGAAATACTAAATTACCATATACTCTATTCCTCCGAACAAGCTCCTCTTGTATTATTATGTTCTTTTGCCAACGACCAAGTTCCTTACAAACATTATATTATAGTCACAAGCAAATATATATATATATATATATTTATACAAATATTCAATTGTCATCAGAATACAATACAGTATGAGATTACACTGCTTAAGCGGTGGTTATCTCTATAGTAATCTGAGTTAGTTAAACCACAAAATCAAGATTAGTTTTTAGAATAATCAATAAATAAATACAAATTCAAAACACTAAAAAGTTTGGTGGAAGCAGTTCTTGAAAAGACCTCCGAACCTTGCAAATTGCAAGCGAAGTTTGAATCAATGTATTGAGCTTACCTGTCTTGTTATCTTACCTTATCTTCACCTTACTTTGCCACCAAGGTTTTAAACGTTGTACATTAGTGTTGTCAATTGTTAATAGTAACGGTTGCTTTGTTATTAAAATACGCCATCTTTGGTTATGTTCCAAAAAAACCCAAAACCAGAAAACATTTCAATTAATACTATCCATACTTAGGTTTACCCCTGGGGTGAACCTTTAAATTCACCCAACAGATTATAGCCAATTGTTTTGCCATGTCATTACTAATACTAGAGAATTAAAAAAAAAACACAATTAAAAAAAAAAAGGAAATCAGAAAATAGATTTAGGGTTTAGGGTTTAGGGTTTAGTGGTTAAGGTTTAGATTTTATAATTAAAACGAAATTAGATATCGGTTTGGGTTGACAAATGAGTGGTTAGGGTTTAAATTTTACAATTAAAACGAAATTATATATCTGTTTAGGTTTGTGAAATATTTGTTATATAAACCCTAAACCCTAAACCCAAATCCTAAACCATAAACCCTAAACCCAGCGGTGAACAGATATATAATTTCGTTTTAATTGTAAAATTTAAACCCTAACCACTCATTTGTCAACCCAAACCGATATCTAATTTCGTTTTAATTATAAAATCTAAACCCTAACCACTCATTTGGCAACCCAAACCGACATCTAATTTCGTTTTAATTGTAAAATCTAAACCCTAAACCCTAAACCCTAAACCCTAAACCTTAAACCCTAAATCTATTTTGTGATTTCTTTTTTTTTTAATTGTGTTTTTTTTTTTTTTAATTCTCTAGTATTAATAATGATATGGCAAAACGATTGGCTATAATCTGTTGGATGAATTTAAAGGTTCACCCCAGGGGTAAACCTAAGTATGGTTCTCATAGGTATTCATGGATGCATGCGTACATCATTATCTTTCTCCAGCTGTAGAATATACATGCAAAAAAAAAAAATAGATCTTATATTTCTTTCCACCATATACATATTTGAATTCAATGGCTTAACCTTTCAATAAAATTATTTTGAACATAACTTATGGTTGTCTTTACAAAGAAATGATCAAAAATTTGGTGGACATATGTCCATCATAAGAATGTCACAAACTGACAATATGGAGTTTAAACTAAAGAGCTACAATATTATCCACAATTTAAAAATTTTCTTAAAATCACATAATTTTTTTATCAAAAAAAAAAATCACATAACTTAAAAAGGAGAAAATCAAATATAACTTTATTAAAAAAGTGGGCGTGCAAAATACATTTTTCTTATTTCCTAACAAAAACAAAAATAGAAACAAAGCAAATGTGATATAAGAAGATTAAAAGAGACGTTATCTCTCACCTATATTTTGCTCTCTCCTCTTCCTTGTCCAATTCTACTGTCTCAATCCATCATTTTATATGGCAAACTCTCCCGCTGCTCCTGCAGCCACCGCTACTACCGGTGGTGACTCCCGGCGACGCCTCTCCGCGTCCATGTAATTAGTGTACATATTACTCTCTAATTCATAAATGATTAATTGAAATCCTAGTCTAACTATCTTTTTGTATGTTTTAAACAGAGAAGCAATATGCAAGAGGAGATTCCGAAGAAATAGCAAAGGCAGTGGTAGATCGGATATGCTGAAACCGTTTAGTATCATAAATTTTCCAACACAAGACAAAAACACCAGTTGTTGTTGTTGCAGCAAGTTTCAGATCGTGAAGCTTCTCTTGTTTATCCTTCTTTCTGCTACTCTATTCACCATTATTTATTCTCCTGAAGCTTATCATCATTCTCTTTCACACTCTTCTTCTCGGTAAATCTTTTTCATTTTCCATCGCCAACATTATAACATTCTTGACCTTAAATTGTCAAAATGCAAAATTTTACTTTTGCGTCTATCTCTTACAAAATTATCTTATATTGTTGAAATTAGATGGATATGGAGAAGACAAGATCCACGTTACGTCTCGGATCTGGACATAAACTGGGACGATGTGACAAAAACCCTTGAGAGCGTCGAAGAAGGCCGTACGATCGGTGTCTTGAATTTTGATTCGAACGAGATCCAACGATGGAGAGAAGTATCCAAGAGCAAGGACAATAAGGATGAAGAAAACGTTGTCGTATTGGATCTAGACTACGCGGACAAGAACGTGACTTGGGACGCACTCTATCCAGAGTGGATCGATGAGGAGCAAGAAACAGAGGTCCCTGTTTGTCCTAATCTCCCGAATATTAAGGTACCAACAAGAAGACTCGATCTGGTCGTCGTGAAGCTTCCTTGTCGGAAAGAAGGGAATTGGTCGAGAGACGTCGGGAGATTGCATCTACAGCTGGCGGCTGCAACCGTGGCGGCTTCCGCCAAAGGATTTTTCAGGGGACATGTGTTGTTTGTCTCTAGATCCTTTCCGATTCCGAATCTTTTCCGGTGTAAAGATCTAGTGTCTCGGAGAGGCGATGTTTGGTTGTATAAACCTAATCTTGATACCTTGAGAGACAAGCTTCAGCTTCCTGTAGGTTCTTGTGAGCTCTCTCTTCCCCTCGGCATCAAAGGTACAAGAAATGAATGAATACCGAAATTACTTTCTTTTTGGATTTGAAGATCGTCGCTAAATTGATAATTTTCTGTCTTAATCCATGGATTTTACAGAGAGACCAAGCTTAGGAAACCCTAAAAGAGAAGCTTACGCAACGATTCTTCACTCCGCTCATGTTTACGTCTGTGGAGCAATTGCAGCGGCTCAGAGTATAAGACAGTCCGGTTCGACGAGAGACCTGGTGATCCTCGTCGATGACAACATCAGCAGTTATCATCGGAGTGGACTAGAAGCCGCGGGTTGGCAAATCCGGACGATACAGAGGATTCGAAACCCTAAAGCAGAGAAAGATGCTTACAACGAGTGGAATTACAGCAAGTTCCGGCTATGGCAGCTGACTGATTACGACAAAATCATCTTCATCGACGCGGATCTCTTAATCTTGAGAAACATCGATTTCCTGTTCTCGATGCCTGAGATCTCAGCTACAGGAAACAATGGAACTCTCTTTAATTCAGGAGTTATGGTGATCGAGCCTTGCAACTGCACGTTTCAGCTTTTGATGGAACATATAAACGAGATTGAGTCTTACAACGGAGGAGATCAAGGTTACTTAAACGAGGTATTCACATGGTGGCACCGGATTCCGAAACATATGAATTTCTTGAAGCATTTTTGGGTTGGCGATGAAGATGACGTAAGACGCAAGAAAACAGAGCTTTTTGGAGCAGAGCCTCCTGTTCTTTATGTTCTTCATTACCTGGGAATGAAGCCGTGGTTATGCTACCGTGACTACGACTGTAACTTCAACTCCAACATATTTGTTGAGTTTGCTACCGATATCGCTCACCGAAAATGGTGGATGGTCCACGACGCCATGCCACAGGTGATTCACTCTCTCCTCAAAACCCTAATTGAACTCAAAATCACATAACATTCTCAATTTCTCATGTTCAATGTTCAAATATTATTAGGCGTTAGTCATGCGTTGAGACACTGCTTAGCATATTTTTTATTTCTCTAAAATCTCCATAGCTTTGAATAAACATATATAAATTAAAAACTACTTCCTGCCCAAGTATAGAATAATTAACCATATACGAAAATATACGAAAATCTTGGTGGGTTAATAAACTTGGAAGATAGGTCGTAAGCACCAAGTTATGGTATGCACTTTGCACTCATTGCTTGTTATTCAGATCAATTTTTAATGTCTTTTATTTTATTATATATAATTACATCCTTAAAAAAATCATTTCATGCTTCCTGAACTTTTTAAAAATATAAGTTGGCATAATTATTAAAAGTATAGACGTTTTCCCAATTATACGAAAATTGTGACGGTTAGTAATTTTGGACTATACACGGATATATATGTGCTTAAACATAAATGATATATTTTTGCAGGAACTTCACCAATTTTGTTACTTGCGATCCAAGCAAAAGGCACAGCTGGAATATGATCGCCGGCAAGCAGAGGCCGCAAATTATGCCGATGGTCACTGGAAAATAAGAGTAAAGGACCCGAGATTCAAGATTTGCATCGATAAATTGTGTAATTGGAAAAGTATGTTGCGGCATTGGGGAGAATCAAATTGGACCGACTACGAGTCTTTTGTTCCCACCCCACCGGCCATTACCGCCGCTCGGAGATCGTCACTTCCCGGCCATATCTTGTGACGCAATATTTATACAATCTTTATATCAATGGATTTCTGAGTTTTTTTATTTGAATTGTTGCTGCGAGATTAGGTAAATATATATCAGTTGTGTAACTACATTTTTTCCTATAGTTTGCTCAATTTGAATAAAACATTTTTTTTGCAGTTTAACAACAAAATGGAACACATGTCGTATTTATATGCCATTTTTAAATACAAACATAAACTCAAAAATGTTAGTAAAATTCAAATAATATACACTATACCAAAACGATTGATTATAGACTTATAGCCAAACAACACAAATTATATCGATGTAGGTACAACATCTATAAACTTTCTAAAATTTCAAAGTTAGTCCTTGTCGGATCGTTGGGTAGCATGTATACATATAGTATAAATCTATGCGTATATATGTATATTTATGAAAAGAATCTCTACTAAAGATTTCCATAATTAAGCTTGTGAAAAGAATCTCTAATAAAGATTTCCATAATATTTAACCAAAATACAAAGATTTCCTTATTAGTAAAACTACACCCTTGTTTAACATATAAATTGATTCAATGAGAAAAAAATATATCAAAAAAAGGAAATGAAATCTTCACCGCTATCATTATTGATTCGTCATTAATTACCGAGCGAGACCAAATTCTTGAACTAAGGTTTATATATTCGCAAACATTGATCAACACCTCATCATTCAATTCATAGAGAATACAGAAATAACATAACCATGGCTTCTTCTTCGTCCTCTTCTCTTTCGTCTTCATCATCGAAGAAGAACAAAACCCTTTTCAAGAAACCTAATTCTGCTTCTTCTTCTTCGAGAGCCACAAGCTTAATTAAAAGACAAGCGACTGTCTTTAAGAAAGCTGAAGAGCTTTCAATTCTCTGTGGCATCGATGTCTGCGTCATCTGTTACATGTCAGACGGAAAGCTTAAGACATGGCCTGAAGAGAGGGAGAAGGTCAAAGCCATAGCTCGAAGGTACGGTGAATTAAGCGAGACGAAGCGTCGCAAAGGAAGCGTTGATCTTCACGAGTTCCTCGAGAAGATCAATCAGGGTGATTCCAAGGAGGAGGAGAAGAAGAAGATTAAAGTGAGACGTGTATCCAGAGTCAAGTATCCAGTTTGGGACCCTAGGTTTGATAATTACTCTGTAGAGCAACTCACGGGGCTGGTTCAGTCCTTGGAGCGAAACCTAACCAGAATCCAACATAGGACTCACGCTGTTGTTGAAGCTCAGGGACAGAGGAGGATGCAGTACACGAACATGGCTAATCAAGAACTGATGATGGCTCATACGATGAACCAACTTCAACAACATTCAAACCAGGTTTCCATGTATCTGTGGAACCATGATAACGGTTCTTTCTCGCAAATCCCAGTCTCTGCATTAGCTTCAAACCAAGCGCAATCTCTGGCTCCGATTCCGTCTGAACTAATGATTTACCCAAATTCGGATGTGGGAAATTACTCGGGATCACTTGGGGTACAAGGAACTGGGATCAACGGGCTTCAGAACATGAACATGTTAACCTACAACAACATCAACAGCGTTAATGATTTCTCAAAACAGATTGACCAAAATTCCAGAGTGGAAAGTTACTCTAGCTTACTTGGGGTACACGAATACGGAAACAATGAGTTTGAGAACACTAACATGTCCAGCCGCAGCAACTTCAATGTTCAAGACTATGCAGGGTTACTTGGGGTGGAAGGAACTGTAACTGGAACTAACGGGTTGCAGAGCATGAACATGCACGACTACAACAACAACAACAACAACAACATTAACGCTAATGGTCTTCAATTTCCAAGACAACAGTCAACAGCAGCACCGGGTTTTCAATTCGGACCAATCCGGGAACAATACTAGGTCTCCCTAAGATCTCTCACAATATCTCTTATAGCTTCATAATTTTTGGGGTTTAATATATTATATAACTAAGAAGCATATATTTATAAGTTTTGGTTAGTGCAATTATCATTTTGAGACATTTTATCAATCTCTCTAAGTTTTCGATTATTTCTGATTAATCGCTAAGTGTTATGTGACTTATTAAGGACTAATAATGTCTCCCATGTTAGTGACTATTTTCCTATGGCTATACTTCCTCTTTTGTTATCCAGAGATTTTTTCGTTTGTTATACTTATTGCTGAGAATTAAGACTAATAATGTCTCCCATGTTAGTGACTCTTTTCCTATACTTCCTCTTTTGTTATTCTGAGATTTTTCTTGTTTGTTATACTTATTGCTGAGAATTTGATTACAGTATATGATTAATGTTTGCTAAACTAAAAAAAAAAAAATCCTAGGCAATCTTTTAAGTTTTATGACGGGTAAAAAGATAGACGGCTAAAAAAATTACTTGAACATCTTTCTCCAATCATCTGTCGCATTAAAAAGGAAAAAAGGTAAAAATACACAACGAAGTGAAAAATGGAAAAAAAGTAGAAAAGATCCTACTGGACATAAAGTGTTGTTGTTCGGCTTGTTTAAGAAGTAATCAACGGCTGAGATTAAAAGGATTTTAATCAACGGTTAGATTTGAACTGAAGTGTACTTACCTTCTTAGTGGGACCTGTTTACCACACAGGACAGAAGCAAAAACCTTAGCGAAAGAATTGTTTAGATTTTTTCTTTTTACTACTCCAAAAAAAAAAAAAATCATAGAACTTGGAAATTCGAAGAACAGAGTTAAAAATCGTTGTCGTTCTTCTTTCTGCGTATCGTACACTTGAGCGCAGTTTCTTACTTTGCTTGGTGTTAGGGTTTTGTCTCTTTGTTTGTTGATGAAGAGCTCTATTCGAATTCAAGTGAGTTCTGTTTATCTTCTTGTCTAATCCTGATTTTAGGGTTATTTTTCTTCGAGAAATTTTGTCTAGTTAGCTCTAATTAGGTTCAATTTAGTCTGAAGTTTTTTTTCCTAAATTTAGGTTCTATTTGGGCTCTGTGAGACATTGTGATTATAATCTCAGGGAGAATTGGTACCAATTTCAATTTCTGGTTGATTCTTCTTCTTATTTGTCTACTTCCATGATTGGGCTTCTTCACTTATGAACCTAAGATCAATATTTTCAATTGCAAGACAAGATTTTCTTCGTGGATTCTATTTGCTATGAATGGTTTCACACTGTTGGAGATCTATACTTATGAACCCAATTTTTTTTTTTTTTTTTTCGTCTGCAGATGTTTCCACTTAAGAGATTTGAATCTAGTTATTACAGTTTCCTTTACTTGTTTGCTAATTTTTTTTACTCTTTTTCATAAACTTCTTCTCTGCAGATTTTCTTTTGATGTTTGGTGCTTACTAGTGGGGATGGAAATGAGTGGTTTGGGAAGAAAACGTCTTTCAAAGTGGGACTCTAAGGAAGATACACACCATCATCATTCTAGTGTAAATGCAAACTCGGGTTCTTATTACCGCGACAAAGAGTCTGAGCCTGTTCGGTTCAATGACGAGACTAATGGTGAAGCTAGGACTAGAAGCAGAGTTTCACAGAATAACGATAACAGTTATTTTTCTGAACAGGATGATACTAGGCAACAATTTTTCCCTAGGTTAGTGTTTCGAGTTGTTACAAATAGGTGAAAAAAGTAGAGATTCTTGTTTATTTGTTCTTCAGTTCTTACTTAACGTCTCTTTTTTTCTTTCTAGGAGTGGAAGTAAAAGTAATAGCAGGAGTAGAAGCCGTAGTAGAAGCCCAGTCTATAGAGGTAGACGAGATGCGGGATCTTATGATAGACACAAGACAAGAACACAAGTTTCTCCTACGCCAATGAGGGAGTTCAATAAAAGAGGCAGTGATCATCAGTTTGATCAAAGAAGTGATTATGGTTGGGAAGATAACATTAGAAAGCCAAGGGAGACGAAATATCACACCGATGATTTCAGAGAAGAGGCGATGATGGAAGGTGCGAGGTCTTCTGACTATAATACTGATTATCCCGAGGATAATTCGAGAAGGGGGCATTTACATGATGGCGGTTTAGACCCGAGAATGAGAAGGGGAAGAAGCGATTTTACGGGCGAGAAAGAAACACAAAGAAGGGATGGTGATGGTGAAGGAGGATTCCACAGGAGTTCGAATATTCCGTGCAAGTTTTTCGCTGCGGGGACGGGGTTCTGTCGTAATGGCAATTATTGCAGGTTTTCTCATCATGTTGCTGATAGAAAACAGCCTCAAGACAACAACTTTTATAGACAGGACAAAAACAATCATAGTAGTGGTCATAATAAATGGAATGATGTTGAAAGATTGGACAATGGAAGAGTAGGTAGAATCGAAGTTTCTCGCGCCAGTAAGGGAGTTTCTGAATCTAAAGGGAATGGTAGTAGCTGGATTGATGACATGGAGATGTCTCCTGATTGGAATTATGGAGTCCAAGCTTTAAAGAAGCCTGTGAAGGAAGAACATGGTGTTGGTATTATTGGTCAGAGTTCACAATCTCGAGTTCTTAAAGATAATTTGGTGACTAATTATGATTCGAGAAGTAGTGGTATGTTTTCACATGGTGACAAAACTATCGCTGAGAAACCTATAGCTGCTTCACATCAGAGTTACAGTAATTTAGTGAATGTTGCTCCAGTTCAAACATTTAATCAGAATCATAATGTATTGCCGTACCAAAGATCACTAACTGCTGGAGGAAGTCAACAAGTGCTAGCTACTGCTTCTGCTGCTGCTCAAGATTTCTCAGTAGGCTTGAACTTGAGCAATCTTGAGAGTGGAAAAGTTTATCAAGATAATCATCACTCAACGGTGGAGAAACCTGTTTTGGTTCAAAATACAGTAAGTAGGGAACAAATCGATCAGATTACCAACATCTCAGCAACTATAGCGCAGTTTCTTGCAAATGGGCAGCCTATTCCACAGCTTGAACAGGCATTAAAGATGCCGCTGCATTCAGAATCTTCCGTGGCTGTTCAACCAAATCAGGCTACTCCTCAAAGTAATCCAGTGAGTAGTAATCCAAATCAGCTATGGGGACTAGGGATGGGCACTGACGCTGAAGGAGTCTCAGCGGTTACTGCATCAAAGGTAAGCAATGTCGATGGGATTCAGGAACTATCGCTAAATCCCAAGGAAAACGGGGACAAAAAGACTGATGAAGCTAGCAAGGAAGTAGAGGGTAAGAAAATTGGAGAAGACACTAATGATGCTGAGAACGTCGTGGATGAAGATGAAGATGGTGATGATGATGGGAGCGACGAAGAAAACAAGAAAGAGAAAGACCCGAAAGGAATGCGGGCGTTTAAGTTTGCGCTAGTTGAGGTAGTAAAGGAGCTTCTAAAACCAGCTTGGAAAGAAGGTAAGCTGAACAAAGATGGTTACAAAAACATAGTGAAGAAGGTAGCTGAGAAAGTGACTGGTACAATGCAAAGTGGAAACGTTCCTCAAACACAGGAGAAGATTGACCATTATCTATCCGCTTCGAAACCAAAACTTACCAAGCTCGTTCAGGTTCCTTCATACATTACTTACTCTTTTGCTTTGTTAATCAACTGCAAACATACAATGTTCCTAACTGTTGTTTTGTGTCTGTTTTCAACTCCAGGCATATATCAGCAAAATCAAGAAGACATAATTTGAATTGGACTCCCATGTTTCATCTCTTTCCATCATCATCATAAACCTTGAGAGCTGAAGTGGAAAATGTTGTTAACTTTATACTTACCTGCTTAATCTTTAGAGGAAGATTAGAAGACCAGGTGATGATTTGTTGTCCCCATTATTTTCAGTTGTGTAGATATACCAGTAGAGAGATTTTGTCCCAATTCTTTTTTCTTCATTTTCGACATAAATGATAAGGTCCAGTCTGATAATAGACCAAGATTGCGTTTATGTCTTTCTTTATAGAAACCTAGAGCCAGTTTCAGTGATCTCTTTGTGACTATATGTTGAATATGTCTTTTAGCCCTTTTGCTTATGCTCTTCTCAACAGAAGTTACAGAACTCCTAAACTCGTGCCTTAAAAGGTTAAATGAATACTGTAGAAACTGGAGTACACTGATGTGTGCGATTGGTCTTTTAACCGGTTTGAACCGGCTTGAAGATCTGCCTTAACCAAGCCTGTACCACCGTTGTTCCCGCCATTTATCTCTTCTCTTCTCTGAAACTTTTCTCGGAAATATTAAAAAAATTGTGAATTTGATAAGAAAGTAAAAATAGAGATCTCGTCTTCGTCGTGACTACTGATATACTTCTGAATCGGAAATGGCTTCGTCATCTAAAACCCTAATGGATTTTTTTCAACCTGCGAAACGCCTCAAAGCTTCCCCTTCTTCTTCTTCCTCCTCTTTCACCGCCGTCTCCGTCGCCGGTGGTTCCCGCGGTTTGGGTTCCGCAGCAAACTCGCCGCCTCGTGTAACCATCACCAGTTCCGTCTCCGATGACTCATCTGGCCTTACACCCGAACAGGTCGCTCGCGCAGAGTTCAACAAGTTCGTCGCCAAGTCCAAGCGTAACCTCGCCGTCTGCTCCGAGAAGGTCACAAAAGCGAAAGGTTTGTTTTTTCTTTCCCTTCCTTTAGTTGATTTACAGTTTCTGTAAGAGAATCTGCGATCTGGGCAAAGAGAAAGCTTTTTGGGTTTTACCATTTTGAATTGATTTTGGGATGGGAAATTGCAGCTGAAGGAAGCTGCTACGTGCCTTTGAATGAGCTCTTGGTAGAAGAATCATGGCTGAAAGCTCTTCCTGGGGAATTGCATAAACCCTACGCCAAAACTCTTTCTGATTTCCTTGAACGTGAGATCATCGCTGACAGTAAAAGCCCTCCGATTTATCCACCGCAACACTTGATTTTCAATGCCCTTAATACAACTCCTTTTGATCGAGTTAAGACTGTCATTATCGGACAGGTACAACATTTGGAATGAACACTAGTTTCTTTTTCTGGATTCTGTTTATGCTTTAACAAGTATTAACTCTGTTTGATTTAGGATCCTTATCATGGACCTGGTCAAGCTATGGGTTTGTCCTTCTCTGTACCTGAAGGAGAAAAGCTTCCTTCTAGTCTGTTGAACATATTTAAGGAGCTTCACAAAGATGTTGGCTGTTCTATCCCACGTCACGGTAATCTACAGAAATGGGCTGTGCAGGTAAATGGAGTTTCTTTATGATCCCTCTCTACTTATTTGTGTCATCAATTCTCAGTTTACTTGGAGAAGATCAAGCAATTCACTTTTGAATTTCTTGTTTAGGGTGTGTTGCTGCTGAATGCTGTTCTTACAGGTAAATGTCTCTTATCGTGCGACGACCTTATATGTATAAAACTTTCATAGTCCTGCAATGATTCTCACAATTATGTCGGTTACCTTGCTTTCTAATTCAGTAAGGAGTAAACAGCCTAATTCACATGCAAAGAAAGGATGGGAACAATTCACTGATGCTGTTATTCAAAGTATTTCACAGCAGAAGGAAGGTGTTGTTTTTCTCCTGTGGGGAAGATACGCTCAAGAGAAATCCAAGTAGGTTTGGTTTTATGAATGTGATACAGCTGATGACAAGATTAGTAACTGAAATTCTGTTTATGACTTCCAGAACATTAGAACTTGTTAGACTTGTAGATTTTGCAGCCTATGCATCTTCATTGTTTTTATCTTGTATGAATACAGGTTGATAGATGCGACTAAACATCATATACTCACAGCAGCTCATCCATCTGGTTTGTCGGCGAATAGAGGCTTCTTCAACTGCAGGTTAGATCAACTCTAGTAAACCTTTTTCTCTCCTACCTGTTCACTTGCATAATGTAACCACTGTTTCGTGAGTCTGCAAGACATGACATGACCTGCAATTTTCTGCGTGTTGTGCTTATTTTGTCCCAACTGCTGAACTTAACATTAATGTTCCACCTATGGACAGGCATTTCTCTCGCGCAAACCAGCTACTCGAGCAATTGGGGATTCCTCCCATAGACTGGCAACTTTAACTTGTTAACCGTAGTCTCAAGGCCAAGACGAAGTGTGATCTTTCTCGGGAAGCCTATCGTTTTTTGCAGTCCTTTTTGGTGAAGAAAATCTTGACAGTTCCAGTGCCCTTTTTTGTGAATTATGTTATCACGGAAACCTAGCATAGGCTGTTGAAGTAGTTGGATCTGAGTATGGCTCAGTAGTGTCAAACTGTGTCTTCATTTTGTTGTTTTCAAGAACACTGGTGTATTAAATTTGTATGGAAAGTTCATGAAAGAAAGCCAGAAGCTTTAAGTTCGATTATCAAGGCGAGTGCTAAAAAAGATATTTGTATGGAACCCCTTCGATAATGTTATTCTTGAGTTCAAAGGCATGTCAGGTAAACAACAAATTTACAATCTTGAAACAAAATTTACAGGAGCAGTTGCTCCTATATTCTATGATCATGAATTTTCACAAATGAGGTACAAACTTTGCTAATCTGCATTACCTGTTAGCTCCAAGTATGATGATGTTTCTGAATTGACCACAACAAGCTCCAAACGTAGGAGGAAACAGAAAAAAAACATATTTGGCTCACATTCTATTCTTCTTCTTCTCATGTCTTATGCCTCTTCCTCAAGTTCCTTATTGTTGGCAAGTGCCTTTCAATTGAATGTGGACACCCGAAAAAAGTCAACAGATTCCTGCAGCTCTTTTCACCATCTTCTTCTGTTCCTTGAGAACTTAGATGGCTCAAGTACGTCTTGCCTTCATAGATATAGCTAAGCTGTTGCCACAGCAAAACACTTAGCCCAATCGCCACAGAAACACTCGCCACAAAGAGATAGACTAGAACAAGGCTTCGAACAGAGATGAAGACAGCATTGGCTATGTAAGTAAGAAATATATTCTTCACCAATCTCAGAATCGATAAACTATTACCATGCGCCACAAGGGCCACATCGGATGCATATGCAGCTCCATTTTCCATAGGTGGCAAGATATGAATCAAACAATACATACACATAACAGCAGCATAGATTGTGCTAGTGACTGCTGAGATAAGGAATGCTATGAAGTGTTTGTGATTACCCGCACCAACACAGTTCCCAATCTGCAAATACAACACAAGGAGAGTCATTAGCGTTTAAGTCCTTAACCAGTAAATAAGAACACTGATATTAACGGTATTGACAAACAAGTCTAGTTTCCAACGACTCTATGATTGGGGAAGATTAGAGGGTGTATAAAATGGAATGATAAACAAGGTACAAGTCTAGGTGATTTATGTAAACGCTAAATGCGAAAACTAATCATCTATAGTGTATCACCACACAACGTACACTCAAAAAGCCACTCTATATTTAGCCTTTTATGTAAAAATGATATATGTAATAACTAAAGAGAAACCTGAAAAAGCCATGAGACTTACAAAGGGGCAATGGTGATCCATGTCCAATACACACATGCCACACGTGCGGCAGTGATGGGTTCTAGGAGACTTGGGTTTGGAGCAGTAGTTACAAAAGGTATAGTTGTTAAGAGCGCCATTCCCTACTCCAGGGTGGGTTCCATAAAGAATATTTGTTGGCTTCCCGGCGCATTTAAAAGCAACAAGAATAAATGTTGAAAGCGTTGATATCGCCAGACACGCTGTTGTAACAGAATGGAAAATTCCACAAGCCAAGCTGATCGAAAACAAGACGGGATAAGCAGCCCAAATCCCACCACCTGAAGTTTTTTTTTCCAAATGAGAATTTAACAGGGAACGGGAAATACAATTTTTAAAATGATGTTAATACTTATGTAGAGGGGCTTACATATCACAAAGAGCATAAAAACTGCAAGAATAACGACAAAACACCGGTCACGGAAACGTCTCAACCCAAAGCTTTTGGTTTCAGGTCTGACTGGATTCTGATTCGTGATTGCACCACACCATCCACACTTGAAAACAGGTGCGTATGATGGAAGAACAAGGTTTAGCCCACAGCCCCAACAAATTGCTTCATAATCTTCATTTATGGTTGTAACAAAACTCCCCTAGAGAAAAAAGCAAACAGTTATAAACGTTAAGGCCTATTGCTATATCACAGTTATCTCCTTTAGACCTATGCTGCAAGAGAACAGTCCCAGTATGCAAGAGTCACTCTACTATCAGATGACCACAATGTGTAAACGCTAACACTAACACTAACACTAACACAATCCAGGTTCATGATTGCCTAAACTGTATTCTGTTCTCTGAACATATCTCTATCAGATTGAGAAGTTAAAACGTTCCCTTTCTATCCCATTCACTAAGCAAGTATTATGAAAAGAGAAAGATCCAGTAAAAAGGATTTGCATCACATATATAATGCCAGATTTGATATCAACCTGATCTCCTAAGTCCTAAATCACTAAATCAAGCAAGCACGAACTATTTATTGAAACTGGCCAATAATTCCAAGATTGTATTCACACACTAAGGCATAACAAGATGAAATCTTTAAGACTATGCAGTGAAGATGGGTGAGAGAGAGATAGAAGGATCCACTAACCTGGGAAGACTCTTCCATAGCTGGATACAAGAAAACAAGGTTTCTTCAAAAATCACAGAAGATTGATGAGAGTTAACAATCACCAACTCAAAGAAAACCCAAAAGCTCTTCTTTATTGAAATGAAACCAAAAGAATCAACCAAAAACTTGTTTTCCTCTAGCTTTGAATATCCTAAACCAATAGAATACGTATCAATTGCATAAGAAACCCCATCAATCATCTGCTAATCAATGAAGCACGTCTCGCTGAATCATCCGTGAGAAATCTCTAATCTTGGGCACCGAACAGAACTATCAGCTCCCTGAAAGCTACTATCTTTACACAAAGATCTGAAAGATTTTTTTCAGATTAATCCGAAATTGCTTGACCACGACACAAAGCATCCGATTCTTCACAAGTAATTTGCGTTGACCGTCTTTAATATTCACAGATACGCATCAGAAAGAAATAGAAGAAATTCAAAAGCCTTCTCTTTTTCCCTCTAATTCTATAAATCAATCTCCCGAAACCCACCGTTGGCGACGGCGATTGCAACAGTAAACACCGGCAAATTTTGATCGGAAGTAAGGAAGAAGAGAAGAAGCTTGAAACACAGCGGTGAAAAAATGATTAATTCTTCTTATTTGCATATCTCTCCCATTATTTTATTCTTATTTTTGGTCCTTTCTCTAATGTATATTTTAATGATATTTTATGTCGTGTTATAAATACAAAAAAAAAGAGTTATGACAAATGTAAATTTGATAAAACTTGGGAGTCAAGTGTCTAAGCAATCACAATAAATGGTAAGTTATCATACGCCTACGACGTGGACGGCTCAGATTAAGTTTCACGTATAAAAAAAAAAAGGAAAAAACAAAATGAAAAGACCGACTCTTTAATTTCCCAAAAATCAGAACCAAAGATCTCTATCTATAAATTACAAATCTCCCGTAAAAAATAAAAACCCTAAACGCGAAAACCTTTCAAGCTTCTCGTAAACCTAGCTACACCAGTCTCGCTTGTGATCGGAATCCATGGGCAAGTCTAGCAAGAAATCCGCCACCAAAGTAGTCATCTTTCTCCTTCTACTTCTTCTTCTTCTTCTTGTTACTCTGTTTTGTTTCTGAAGATAATCATCGAATCGAAAACTCTGTTTTTTACTTTTGGTTTTCTAGGTTGAATCACCTGCTTCAATGACAAAGCCACTCAAGAAAGGTTCGATTTTTATTTTGACTTTGTGTTATTATGAATTTATATCTGCTTGGACGATTTGGGAATTTGCTGTTCATTGAAGGAGTGTATTATACTGTGTTGAACGAGAGTGTTGCAATTAGTTTGTTTATGTCTTCTCAAGAACTAGGTTCTCAACACCATCTTCTATTTTGAATTTGTTTGTCTTAGGTAAGAGAGATGCCGAGCAGGATTTGGACATCCAAGTTCCGAAGAAGCAGAAGAAAGAGTTGATTGATGCTGTTCAGAAGGAGATATCTGAGAAAACAGTACCGAAGAAGATAGAGAGTAGCAGTTCTGACTCATCTGATTCTTCTGATTCTGAGGAAGATCAGAAGGTATAACTTCTATCTCAGTTGTTTAATTTGTTTTGAGCAATGTAACAAAATTTAGTTAAGTTGAGTTAAAATTGTGTACTATATCCTGTTTATACTCATCTTTTGTCCCTTTAATTTTCTTTTTTAGACTAAGAAAGTCCTTGCAAAGGAACCTCCTTCTAAGCAGAAGGATGACTCTTCTTCTGATGACTCTTCTTCGGAGGAGGTAGGAATTGCGTCATAAATATTCTCTCAATGTTAAAGCAATGCCACATGTTATCTTTGAAATTGATTTGTTACATATATATAGGAACCTGCGCCTGTGAAGAAGCAACCAGAACCTATCAAGAAAGACAAGGTAGAGAGCAGCTCATCTGATGATGATTCTTCTTCAGACGAGGTATGAGTTGCTTCACAATTACATGTTAGCTCAAGCTTAGAGGAATCTCGTAAGCTTACTTTGCAATTTGTGTTATTGTTAAAACAATAGGAAACTGCCCCTGTGAAGAAGCAACCAGCAGGAGTCCTTGAGAAGCAACCAGAACCTATTAAGAAAGACAAGGTAGAGAGCAGTTCATCTGATGATGATTCATCTTCAGACGAGGTATGAGTTGCTTCATCAATACACGTTAGCTCAAGCTTAGAGGAATCTCATAAGCTTACTTTTACAATTTGTGTGTTTGGTAAAACAATATTAGGAAACTGCCCCTGTGAAGAAGCAACCAGCAGCAGTCCTTGAGAAGCAACCAGAACCTATTAAGAAAGACAAGGTAGAGAGCAGTTCATCTGATGATGATTCTTCTTCAGACGAGGTATGAGTTGCTTCATCATTACACGTTAGCTCAAGCTTAGAGGAATCTCGTAAGCTTACTTTGAAATTTGTGTGTTTGGTAAAACAATATTAGGAAACTGCCCCTGTGAAGAAGCAACCAGCACCAGTCCTTGAGAAGTCCAAGGCAGAAAGCAGTTCATCAGATGATGGATCTTCTTCGGACGAGGTAAGAGTTGTTGTGCATTACACATGTTAGCTCAATGCTACAACATAATATCATATGCTTAATTTTAAACAAACATGATTAGGAACCCGCCCCTGTAAAGAAGGAACCTACAATTGTTAAGAAAGACAGTTCTTCTGAGGGTGAATCTTCTTCAGATGAGGTATGTTGCATCTTTACATGTTAGCTCAATGTTAAAGGTATGTCATAAGCTTAATCTGAAATTTGTGTTTAATAAAATTTTATCAGGAAACCGCCGCAGTGAAGAAGCAGCCAACAACAGTTCTTAAGGATGCCAAGGCAGACAGCAGTTCATCGGATGATGGATCTTCTTCTGACGAGGTAAACATTTAGGTTTACTTGTTAGCTTAAGGTTGCAGGAATTCCATATGCTTATCTGTTTGATTTTTGTAAAACATAATAGGAATCTGCCCCTGTGAAGAAGCAACCCGCAGCCCTTAAGAATGCCAAAGCAGATAGCAGTTCATCAGAGGAGGAATCTTCTTCGGACGAGGTAAGACTTGCGTTATACATGTTAGCCCAATGTTAAAGTAAAATCATATACATACTTTGAGATTCGTTTTTTTATCAAACATAATTAGGAGCTCACACCTGCCATAAAGCCAACTGTTGTTAAGAATATCAAACCAGCTGCAAAAGATTCATCATCCTCAGAGGAAGATTCTGATGAGGAGGTTTGTTTTGAAACAATTTCTATGTCTTCATATATACTAATTAAAACATGATTATTTAGTGTCTTATAATCTTTTATTTCTTAAGATTGGATCTTCTTAATGATTTGTGATAGTTTTATATTCTCTACATTTAATATTCCATATTATTTTCTCACTTGTAGGAAAGTGATGATGAAAAACCTCCTACAAAGAAGGTAGTTATCTTCTTCCACCGAGTTGTTTTTATAAGGTTTATGCTGCCGAAGTGACAATTAAACTGTTTTTGCAGGCTAAAGTTTCATTAACAAAAACTTCTAAAAAAGAAAGCTCTAGTGAGGAATCTAGTGATGAATCTGATAAGGAGGAGAGTAAAGATGAGAAAGTGACCCCAAAGAAAAAGGTACCAATAATGTTACTTCCTTTCTGTGTTTTCCCCTAGGAAGAATAGTTCACTATAGAATGTTTGATAATCATTTTTGTTCTAATCTTTTCAGGATTCTGATATTGAAATGGTGGATGCAGAGCAGAAATCAAATGCAAAGCAGGTAAAAACTCTATCCAGTAAAATTTTGTTATGAATTTTATTCCTTAGTCATGATTATTGTTATTATTTATCACGTTTTATGTAATGTCTTTTTAGTTATAATGTTTTATCTATATATATATTACAGCCAAAGACACCAACTACTCAGACTCAGGGAGGATCAAAGACGCTATTTGCTGGAAATCTTTCCTTTCAAATTGAGAGATCTGACATGTAAGCATAATGACATTTTTTCATAACATTTTCTCTGGTTCTTCCTATAAAATGTTGGTTGTATGATATTTATAACCCAATATACAGAGAGAGTTTCTTCAAAGATGCTGGTGAAGTTGTTGATGTTAGATTTTCTTCATATGATGATGGGACATTTAGGGGATATGGGCATGTTGAATTTGCTTCTCCAGAAGAAGCTCAGAAGGTAACTTCATATTTGTTATTTTGGAATCATGGAAGTGGTATTGAAATTACGATGATGATTGGATTCATTTTGAAATGTTTTGAATGCAGGCATTGGAACTGAACGGTGAAATGTTACTAGGGCGCGATGTTCGGCTTGATCTTGCTAACGAGAGGGGTCAACGAAACAGGTACGTTTCTTACTTTGCCATATGAGCATGTTGTGATTATGTATGTTTGTTTCCAGGCTAATATCGGTTTGTTGGACTATATACAGCAATCCTGGCCGCAAAGGAGAAGGAAGCCAAAGTCGAACGATTTTTGTTAGAGGATTCAATTCTTCTCTTGGCGAAGATGAAGTAAAATTCTTGTCCTTAACTTTCTTTAAACCAATATTACATATGTTATAATAGCTATTTGTGTAAATCTCTGATGCAAACCACTAAAAATATTTTGTGATCATGATCCAGATCAAGAAAGAGTTGAGAACTCTTTTTAGTAACTGCGGAGAGGTGACAAGGGTTCATGTTCCAACAGATCGTGAGACTGGTGCTTGCAGGGGGTTTGTAACTCTTCTTTTTTTTCTTTCCTGCGTTGTGAATGATAATGATGATGATGATAAAGATGGTCATTGAATATTTCTTGTTATTCTTTCAGGTTGGCTTACATAGATTTGACGAATGGATTCGATGAGGCGTTGCAACTGAGCGGAAGTGAAATTGGAGGATGGAACATACATGTGGAAGAGTCTAGACCAAGAGATAGTGATGAGGGGCGTTCCTCAAACAGAGCACCTGGTAGAGCACCTCGTGGACGTTACTCAGATAGAGCACCTCGTGGACGTTACTCAGATAGAGGAGCACCTCGTGGCCGTTCCTCAGATAGAGGAGCACCTCGTGGCCGTTTCAGTACGCGTGGAAGAGGACCCAGCAAACCAAGTGTAATTGAATCAGCTCTAGGTTTGTTTCTTCTTCTCTCATCTTCCCCTTTTTTTTTTGTGTATTGTAGAATTAGTGTTGTTATAAACTTGTGTTTTGTATGGTCTTGCAGGGAAGAAGACGGTCTTTAATGATGAAGAGTAGAAGAAAGCTTTTTTTGTTGGAGAGGGCTCTTGGTTTTTGTTCTATCTTATAGTAGTAGCTTTTTTGGCCTAGTTTCTTTTTGTTTTCTATTGAGAAAAGCATTAAGCTTTATGTGATGAGTTGTACTCTTCTTAAGATATTTTATGTTGGTTTTTCTTAAACTTAAGAGCAGTTTACTATGCTGCGTAAATTTTGGAATAAATCGCTTAACTTCATTAATGGTTCATTGCTATCAGCCCTGCTTAGAATAGAGCTTTTACACAATTTAAAATCTCTTGTATCATTCTCTGTATATTCCATTGCCCTTGCCAAAGTTTTGAGTAACACTTTCTGGACAGATCACGCGTATTTGAGAAAATGTTAGGAATTTGGTTAAGATACATTTCAAAATAATTATAAATATTATTTTGAACATTTGAGACTATCTGACAGAATTGTTACTATCATGAATTTGAGACTAGTTCTTGAGCGTAAAGAATCAATTACTATTAAAATTACTGAAAAAAATGGAAAACACATCATAAAATAAAAACAAATCTAAATTTTGCACATTTTATACAAGTACAGACTCATTTTACAAGATTATTTGCCGACTTTATACGAATTACTGAATCAGGTATATAATGAATTTTAATAAATAAATAAAAGGTTACGAAATTACACAACTTGAAAGTCTCGTTAAACCCTAAAACCTTGTCTCCGCGCCGCGTTATCACTCTTACGTCTCTCTCTCTCTCTCAACTTCTTCAAAAGCAAATTGTCTTCGATTCTCTGAGCTCTCTTGCATCCTTCAAGTGGCTTCGTTTCTAAAAGTAAGTTTTTTTTATTTAGGGGTTCTCTTCAAGTGGTTGTTCCTTTTCGAATGTCTGTATCCTAAATGAAATCGAGTACAGCGATTGATAATAAACCTTAAAACATTCTATTGCAATACACGGCTCCGAGAAACTTTACCTAGATTGCTTTGTATATAATCTTAAATTTTTGGATTGAGAATCGAAAAGTTAGGGTTTTTCTTTGGTATTGCTCTGTTTACTCTCAAATTTGTTGTCTTTCTATTCATAGATTTTTGTAATTTTGCTGCAGAATTGATTGGTTGAGAAAGAGGAAACATGGTTGAATCGGACAAGACATCCGTTGAAGAGCTGAAGAAGAGGGTAAGGAAAAGGAGCCGTGGGAAGAAGAATGAGCAGCAAAAGGCAGAAGAAGAAACCCACAGTGTTGAGGAAAACGCAGACGAAAAGCAGAAGAAGAGTGAAAAGAAGGTTAAGAAAGTGAAGTTGCAAGGGAGAGGCAAAATCGAGGAAGACGAAGAGGTGGAAGCAATGGAAAATGGTGAAGAAGAGAAGAATCCCGTGATTGTCGGGAAAGGGATAATGACTGATGAGACTTTTGACTCCCTGGACTTATCTGAGCAAACTTCTATAGCTATCAAGGAGATGGGCTTTCAGTACATGACGCAAGTACGTAAATTTGAACCTTCTTCTGATGTTAAAACCGGATTTTTGAAAACATGGTCTTGTGACTTGTGGCAGAGTATGTTTCTAAGTCTCTTAATCATTTGCTATCATTCAGATTCAAGCTGGATCAATTCGGCCCCTTTTGGAGGGGAAGGATGTTCTTGGTGCTGCCAGGACTGGTTCTGGTAAAACTCTTGCTTTTCTCATACCGGCTGTAGAGTTGCTGCTTAAACATCATTTTTCTCCTCGCAACGGGACTGGTGTAATTGTTATTTGCCCCACAAGGGAACTTGCTATCCAGGTAAATTTCCTTTTTATCTACCTAAGGTATTTCAACTTGGCAGCAACCATACTTTCATTTCGAGTAGATGTTTCCTGTAATTCTTGTAATGCGCTAGGTAGATTAAATTTGTGAGGTTCTCGTCTTTCATTTAGATGAATCAATGCTATTGCTTTGTTTTTGTAAAATATGAACATTGTTGTATGTTATTGAGGCCACCCATTCCGGTTTTCACAGTACTATTTTGATATTTCAGACAAAAAATGTGGCAGAGGAGTTACTCAAGCATCATTCACAGACAGTCGGCATGGTTATTGGTGGCAATAACAGAAGGTCGGAAGCACAACGCATTGCGAATGGTTCAAACTTGTTGATAGCAACTCCTGGGCGTCTTCTTGACCATCTTCACAATACAAAGGCTTTCATTTATAAACACTTGAAGGTACTGTCCTTTCCATGGTTACAGTTGGCGTCCTATCTAGTCTTCTTTGTGTGAAGCAGATGCTAAAAGCTATACTGTTGAGCCACATGGCCATAATTTCCAATTAGCAAACAATATTAAGTAAAGGAGGCCATAGATGAATATCTGAACTGCGGACAGCAGCTTATGCTATATTCATTTCTGTTGCATCAATGTTAGAATTACAAAAGGAATACTGCGGATGTGATCCACACATATTCCATGGTTTATTTAGGTTTGTAGCTTGAGCTGTGGCAATACTAATAGTTGAAATGTAAGTACACAGCTTTATGCTATAGATGATTCTAACGAATATTTATCACTTTCTATATTCCCTGCAAATTGCAGTGCCTTGTGATTGATGAAGCTGATAGGATACTGGAAGATAATTTTGAGGAAGACATGAATAAGATTCTAAAGATTTTACCAAAGGTAAGTCATCTTTTGGGGTCTTAATTAAGGTCTACTCAAAAAAGATATGGGAAAACTAGATGAATTCTAACCTATCAGTATCAGAGATTTCATTTTTTTATAGAGAAACATTCAAACATGTGAATTTTCTTTGGTGTTGATATTCTCCTCATCCGAATCCACTACCAAAGTAGTTTTGTAGGAATTTGTTTGTTCAAATGCCAACACAACTTATGTGCCAAAATGCCTGGCATTACTGTGTATTTGGCTTTTGCACTGATTGGAGTTCTTACCATGTTTCTGCAGACTAGGCAAACTGCGTTATTCTCCGCTACCCAGACCTCTAAGGTATATTTCTGTTGGGTGTTGTATTGTCATTATTAGTATTTTCTGTCTTTTAATGATGCATTGTCTTGGTCAATCTTACAGGTTAAAGATCTTGCTCGGGTGTCACTGACATCACCTGTTCATGTTGATGTTGATGATGGCAGACGCAAGGTATGAATTAAATAAAATACTCTGGTAAAGGATATTTAGTGATCATGGAGATTTTTCTTAACAAGTTACCAAAACTGTTAGGTGACAAATGAAGGATTGGAGCAAGGCTATTGTGTTGTTCCGAGCAAAAATAGACTTATCCTTCTAATTACCTTTTTAAAAAAGAACCCAAATAAAAAGATTATGGTCTTTTTCTCGACTTGCAAGTCGGTACAATTCCATGCTGAAATCATGAAAATAAGCAATGTGGATTTCTGTGATATCCATGGAGGCCTGGATCAGAACAGAAGAACTAAAACTTTTTTTGACTTCATGAAAGCAAAGAAAGGTATCTTGTTATGTACTGATGTTGCTGCTCGTGGTCTCGATATTCCTTCCGTGGTATGTCTCCACATTCATGTTCTTGCGTTGATTTTTTACGCTTTTACTTACTCAATGGTTATATTGAAATCATATTGTGTCGAGTTTTATTATCTGTAGGACTGGATTATTCAGTATGATCCACCAGACAAGCCAACGGTAGAACAAACACTTCCTCCTGGTTTGTTTTCTATATCCTTTTGGCTCTGTATGTGTATCTTAGGTATTTCTTTGGTGCTGTTGTTTTCAGGAATATATCCATAGGGTTGGTCGGACAGCCCGTGGAGAGGGAGCAAAGGGAAAGGCATTGCTTGTCTTGATTCCTGAAGAGCTCCAGTTTATCCGCTACCTGAAGGTAAGAATGGTTATTGAATTGTTTTTGTGGGTTAACCAACTTGTGTGTTTTAATTTGTAATTTAACTCTCAGGCTGCGAAAGTACCTGTTAAAGAGCTTGAGTTCAATGAGAAGAAGCTTATGAATGTTAAATCTGAGCTGGTAAGAGTCCTGATTCAGTGATGTTGTGGGTTAGATAACTTTCCATTTGAAATTGGATTTGCTGTAATAACAGTGTTTCTTGTTCTGTCCCACAGGAGAAATGTGTTGCCGAAGACTACAATCTGAACAAGTTAGCCAAGGATGCATACCGGGCTTATATCTCAGCATACAATTCACACTCTTTGAAAGACATCTTTAATGTTCACCGACTCGATCTCCAGGTAAAAGAAACAAAAACAACAAACGTTCTTCCAAATATATTGTTTAAGGGATTGCTGATATCTCGGGTTTTGACGTTGAATGTCACAGGAGGTTGCGGCATCGTTCTGCTTCTCTGCGCCGCCTAAAGTGAATCTGAACATAGAAAGTCGAGCTGGGAAGGTGAGGAAGGCGAAGCAACAAGGTCGCAATGGCTTCAGTCCTTACAATCCCTATGGCAAGTCCTCCACACCTAAAAAGGCATAGTGTGTATCGATCGGCTTATAAAATTACTGTTTTGTTCCTTAGTTGGATACTTGTTTTTGATTAGTTACCACCAAGTTTTGTTTAAAGAGTAAACAGTGCACTTAATTTAATTTAAATGAAATGTTTCTTATAATACTTGGCATACTATCAATATTTCAGTTCTATGGTTTATGTAACTTTTAAAAATTGTTGATATCGTTTGCATATAATAAAAACTTATAGACATTGAAATGGAATGAGCATAAGAAACCATAAAGAACTTTATTAGGTGATAGGGAGTAGGAACTACATGAAAAGTGAAACCATATTCATTGAAGCTAAACCGGTCTAACCGGAAACCAAATTCAGTAATCGAAACAAAGAAAACAAAAACGCTAAACCGGGCCTAAAATCTTCAGCTAAAATCGCTGGAACTAAACCAAACCAAAAACTGAAACAACAAGAACGGCAAAGACAACAAAACCGGAACTACTGAACTGGACCGCGGTTTTGTAGGCATTGCTCTTCTTGGCCTTGGGAGTTGAAGCCGGAAGAGATGATGATGGTGGTGATGATGATGACGACGAAGATGAAGATGAAGAAGGAGGAGGAGACTCTGTGGAAGACTCCGTCTCCATAACTTTCACGATCATCTTCTGACCCTTTTCGCAGTGGCCAGAGACACCGCTGATGAAGTAAAACAAACCGGGTCGGTCTAGTTTGAAAACAGTGTCTTCGTTGTTTGAGTAGAGTTGCGGTTTGGTCGCTTTGCATTTCTTGTACTCTTCTTCTGACACCACTAACACTGAGTCTTTCGTGTACTTGAAACCTTCACCAAAAAATCCAAAAGTCACACAAAAGAGTTATATATATCTTAAAGATAAACGTTAAAACTGCATATAAAAGTGTTCAATATACTTACGGAGAGTGTCGCCAACTTTAAACCGGTTATCTGAAGCCCATTGGTTAAACGCATCTCCAAGAGTCTTAGACTTTGGTACGATCCACCCATCTTCTCCTCCAACTTCAAATTCAGTGCTTGATACACATGAAAACATGTAAAATGATACAAGAAACGTAACGAGAATGATCTTCTTCGATGAATCCATTTGTTGTTTTTGGATTGATACGAAGGGAGCTCTAACCAAAGTTACAGAGATTGTTTTTTTTTTCTGTGTTTGTAATGACTTGTAACTTGTGAGTGCTTGAGGTTTTGAGTTTAAAAAGAGTGAGACTTGGAGATTTGTTAGACTTGACCACTTCTTGAGGGATAATTAATGGATATCTCTTTGACTTGGTATTTTAATTTCTTGAATCAAAAAGAAATATCGTCGAAAACAACATGACTTGAAGTTGTTGAGGAATAATGGGATATTTTTGCTACTTATTTTGAATTACAAAATTTTTGTGGACGATGTGTTTTCCAAAAGAATTCGTAAATATAAAATGTGGTGAAAATAGAATTATTATTACAATCAAAATGCTTATTACTGATACATAGGAGTATGGTTGTGACTACAAAAGCAAATTTCTTCTTCTCATTGACCCAGCTTGTGGGTTGAAATTGTCATTAAAGAAAGTTTTGGTAAAAAGAATAAGATTTGTAATAATTGAGGCACTTTGTCCCAAATTGTTCCAATCACTTTGTCCGTTCTTTAGCCCTTTAGGGTTTAAGGACGTTAAACCCAGAATCCAACATTTCTCGTTCGATTCGATTTGAAATTCTCAGTGAAGATCAAAAATGGCGAATTCAATGGCTACACTTTCGAGAAGACTCTATCGATCTCTTCTCACGAACCCTAGAATTTCTCAATCTTCCATGTCTTTCTGCACCAACAACATCACTTCCCCAGAAGATTCCGACTTTGACGAGTTAACGGCTAACTCGGACACTGAATCACCCATTGAACCCAAGGCTTCAGATCCAGTTTCTCGATTTTCCGGAGAAGAACGCGTTATGGAAGAGCGTCCACTCGAAAATGGCCTTGACTCTGGCATTTTCAAGGTATAAATCTTAGATTCTGATTCCATTTGATACACATACTCTTGAATCGATCATTGTTGAGTCATTTTGTGAATATCATTAGATTCTCGTTCTGTAGTAGGTTTATTAATGAGTTTTTGACTAATTTCTGGCGAAATTTAGGCGATATTGGTGGGGCAAGTGGGTCAGCTTCCTCTGCAGAAGAAGCTTAAGAGTGGTAGAACTGTCACTCTCTTCTCTGTAGGAACTGGTGGGATCAGGAACAACCGGAGACCACTTATTAACGAAGACCCGAGAGAGTATGCGAGCCGGTCTGCTGTGCAGTGGCACCGTGTCTCTGTTTATCCTGAGCGCTTGGCAGAGCTTGTGTTGAAGAATGTTGAACCCGGGTTAGTTCTCTCTTCTGAGATCATATTTGGCATTTGAGGTTATGTGATGATAGAATAGGGAACCAGACTTATACAAACTGAATCAAATGTATGTATCTTGCCTGATCTCGATCAAGAATTGGTGAAAAAGGATGAAACTTTAGGCGAATCTTACTTGCTGGAATCAAAATGGTAGCTTGCTTTCGTGTATGTGTCACTGAACAACATGTTTCGTGTTTATTCAACAGTACAGTTATCTACTTGGAGGGTAATCTGGAGACAAAGATTTTCACTGATCCAGTCACTGGTTTGGTTCGACGTATAAGAGAAGTAGCAATTCGTAGAAACGGTACAAATGGCAAAAACTCCATTTCTTTACTAAGATTTAGCATTTCTTACATATTTCATTGGGAAAACAATCCAATTGATCTCTGTTTTTCTTCTCCCTGCAGGCCGAGTTGTGTTTTTGGGAAAAGCCGGTGATATGCAGCAACCAAGTTCTGCTGAGCTTAGAGGCGTTGGCTATTACTGATTTTTAACATACAAAATTGTCATAAAGGTACACAATTTGCTTTTGTAGTTTCACTTCTGTTATCTCTTCTTGTGTAACTTGAAGGTTTGGTTTAGTGTTCTTCAATTGGCGTTGGCCCTTTACATTGTTTTCGGCTAACCAAACTAAACCAAACCCAACCAATACGATTTAAATTAAGCCGATCTAAACCAAAATCTCGATTCTAGACAAAGTGAAAATCAAGACCAATCTCCACGTGTTTACAAACATTGCATGAATGCCACCTCAAAGCTGAATCTGTCCTCCATTTGTTTTAACCTTCCTCATTCTATTCTTTGTCACACACAAAAACAACAATCGCTCTCTACAATGGCGGAAAGGTTCTCTAGCGGCGAGGCCCAATATTGGCCCATCTACGGTAGCTCCACCACCACCCCCACTGTTAGCAACAGCCCCATCGCTTCGCTTTTCCATCAGCTCCGATCTCATTCTCCAACCTCCTCGCAGCTTTTTGGTTTCCTCGCTCTCTTTATCTCCACTGGAATCCTCCTCTTGCTCCTCGGTGTGAGCGTCACCGCCGCCGTGCTCGGCTTCATTGTGTTTCTTCCATTGATCATCATCTCGAGTCCGATATGGATTCCTGTTTTTGTCCTCGTGGGCGGGTTCTTAACGGTCTCTGGATTTCTGGTCGGAACGGTGACAGTCCTGTCTTGGACGTACCGCTATTTCCGGGGAATGCACCCGGTTGGATCGAATCAGATGGATTATGCACGTAGTCGGATCTATGACACGGCCTCTCACGTCAAAGATTACGCTAGAGAATACGGTGGTTACTTCCATGGCAGGGCTAAAGATGCGGCCCCTGGTGCTTGACCTGAACCGGTTGGTATAGTCTGGTTCAGGGTAGTATTAACCGATCCCGGTACGATTTATGGAGCAGGAACACGGTTCATGGTATTACTATATTTTCTTATTTTGTTTCCGTTATAAGATGAAGAGGAATGTCTAGTTATGTATAAGAACATCGAGTTATCTTGAATTGTAATATTTTATTTTGTTTCCGAGTTTTTTTTCTATATATTTTTGGGGAGATACATAATCAAATGTCTTCCGATCCGGTTATGTTTGAATAATTATTTCGAAGAACCAATGAGAGTAAATTACTAACTACCTAAGTTCGCGTTTTTATCTTCATTGATTATTTCAGACGATATGGAAGAACATGTTACATCCTTTTTGTGTTCTTTTTCTAATAATGAAAATGTTCTTTATTCTTTTGAAATAGTCATGTTCAAAGTTTGACAAAATTATAAGAACCTTTTATTGTTAAAACCAATGACTTAATAACACTATCTATTCGTTTTATGAACATGAGAATTGTCTATCTGTGTATTAACATTGGACTGAAATCTAAAGAGAATACGGTGTTGGGTGCAAATATGTTACTAGTGAATCAAAATTTATGCCATCTCTATAATAAATAATATTCTAAAGAAAAGGATTGTAAAATGTTGGTTAAAAAGCCTATTCATGGCAAGTCTTAAATTATGTCCACTGTTAATTGGTTTGACAGGTTTTAAAGATTCCAAACTTTATTAAGAAAAATCTTAATTCGAATGTTTACCCTTTATAGTAGCTAATTAATGACTCACTGTGGGTTGATGCATGAACTGAGACAATTTATTGTAGCTAACATAACTTACTTTGCCCTCTGTAGCTACTAGCTAGTTTATTAACATTGGAAAAATCAGTCACTGAAGATTTTGAAGAGGCACAGAATACGCATACAACGGTTACATACTTACATGCTCAAACATGACATTACGGATAAAAAATCTAATGTGACATTAAGCATATATAATTAAGACAGTTGGAATCTTCTTCACCCCTACTTTTTTTTTTCTTTTGACTTCTTTGTGTTTTGATTTTGAAGTCAAAGCCAGCAAGACAAAAAAGGCCAAGTCAACACCGAAATTTGCTGAACGTCAACCGTTGATTTGGTCTATGTATTTGTGAAAACGATTATTTTTGGAGTTTGTAATCATTAACATGGCTAATTAAAGGCCATCATTGGAACCTTTTTACCGCATAGTGGATTCAAATTCTAAATTATTCCATATATATAAATGGAAAAATATAGTTCAACCACATGTAATCGCTTTCCCTAATTAATGATCCATTTGAATGGTAATGAACGGTTGATATGGGAAAGAAACCTTAGCCTTCATTATATCGGATTTTTAAAAAAACTACTAAAGTTTTAAATTTGCCAAGCGTCTTAAATACATAAATTACACAATAATATGCATAAAGTATGTCATGCATCTACCAATAACAACGGAACAACCAAAGCTCCTAGAGAACTTACCACTTGCCTGATGACACCTCAAACAACAATCAAATTCTCAAACTAAAATTTAAATTTCCTTTCCGGTCGGGTTTAACAATGACCCGACATAAGAACGGGTCTGGCGCTCCGGAACCAAACTGGCACGTGGCGACCTTGGAGGCACTTCTCTTAGCTGATGTCCACTACAATCGTAGTAGATCACGCCGGAGTAATCCAACGGCTCACATTTTCCTCCCATCAAAATCTCCCTCTGCCAAACGCCGTACTCCTCCTCATCCTCCTCTATCACCATCTCCACCGCCGTCTTCTTCGTCGGACCACCGTTGTAAGCTTTGTTTTTCCGGCCAACCATAGTCATCGCCTTGTTGCTCAAGGTCGTATAGAGCTCCTTAGGACGCACCCTCATCGGAGAAAAAGTCCGTGCGGGACTCCATCCAAACCTTCCTCCTCCTCTGCCGTCTTCGCCACCGTTTCCGTTAGACTTAGGGCTTTCGAGATAGTCTTCGAGATGAGTTTGCTTCCGACTCGTCTTGGGTTTAAGCTTCTTGGAAACTCTGCTTGCGTGTCTAGCACAAATTACCATGAGAGATACGAGGAAGCTCACACTTAGGCGCTTGTGTGCGGATGAGACATGTTCCGGCGTTGATCTCTCCATTTCTCCGATTATTGAAAAAAGGGTTTAAACTCAAAAAGATTCGTTTGTTTTTTTGTTAATGCGATTCTCTCTCTTGTATGAAATGGTTGGGTTACGTATATTTATATAAATGCACGCGTTAATGTAGGTCCCTTAATATAAAAGGGTGTTAGGTTACCGGCTGACTCGGTAGCCTTTGCGTTGACATCTTTTATTGTGTAATGTGTTTGACATTTTCTTGATTTTCTGTAATGATCTTGTGTTATACAGTTTAATATGATATCAATGAATAATTACATTCTATTTATTTGTTTATGTTTTGTGTATGAAACCTAACGAGCATGCGAGAGACATGCATCAACGATCTCTTGATAAAACTCTTACGTGTTTGAATTCATTCCTTGATAAATATTATTTGTTTCAATACATGAGTTCTATTAGGAAAATTATTATTGTTGTAATATAATTCGTCAGCTCCTCCTTATCATTTTTATTTTATCATATTTGGATTTTTTTTGCTTTTTTCTATTTGTTAATTTTTGCATGCTTAGAAAGTTTTAAGTTTGCTTTTTCTTTTCTATTTTGGTTCGTTTTGTTCGTGTATATACGATCGAGCACTAGTGGTGGGGCAAATAGCAGCAAGGCAATCAAGTGCGGTGAAAACCCCACTCAAAATTTAGGTGTTGGCCGATATGCAATATTTTTTTTTTTTTTTTTTTTTTTTTTTTTTTTTTTTTTATATGCAATAATTTATTTTCTTGTGTTTATCACAAAATCACAAACGTGCGTCAGCATTTATATTTGTCAACACTATATACCATAGAAATTCGAACCACATATAAGGCTGATTAAATAGGAGTTAGATATTGCAGCAGGCTGATTCAGCCAAACCCAATTTGACTTTTTTAAGTTATGCGGGACTAAATATAAGTTTAGATGCGGTCTTTATTTTTTCTAGAGTTTTACATGCAATTGACTGCCAAATACCTAGCGATTAAGGAAAAAAACGCTAAATACATGCAAATTTACTTGTATGGATCTGCCAAATAAACAAGATTTTTTTAAAAAAAAATTATAAATACGAATTCTATTCAGTTTGTTATTAATGTAAATATGTTAAGTGCATAATGTAAATGTGTTTCGGATGTATATATCCTAAATCCTAGTCACAATAGCAAAGTGCTGTTTCATGATCACGACTTACATTATCCTCTACGTGTTGCGAAACACGTGTCTAAGTACATTGAAGAATAAGATGAAATGGGTCGGGTTAGCTTTGGTTGGGTCGGGTTAGTGATAGTGGACCTATTTGGCTTCTCATCAACTTGATCTTTGTCACTGAGCATCATCAACCAAACACAACGCGACGGTGACCGGTAAAGGGACCCACTGGGTTTTCTATTTCGGTTTTTTTTTTTGCTTTTGTAAAAAAATCTGACTCGGTCTCTCTCGATCGTCAACGTCGTTTATATTTTGTTGCGATAGTTTTGTATGAAGTGATTTTACGGTTTTACTCCTACATATATAGTGCGATTGTTTGTCTAATTTACTCAAGGCAATACTGCAATATAATAAAAAAAAAATTGTAGATTTTTTTTACTACGAGGTATCGTCTTTTTCCGTTACCACATCTATAAAGATAATCATATGTAAACACTTTTAATTCGATGTAGCAATAACCATCAATAATCAATTCAATCTTATATAGTCCAAAAAGCCACTTTGATTCTAAAAATTAACTTTTAGTATCATTCACATATGGAAACAAACTAATTAACAGTTACGTTAGCCATTTCAATTAATTAAGGCTCATTTATTAGAACATTATGAGACGCTAAATGTAGTTGACCGGCACGACCTATATTCTTTTATTAACCCACTAATCAAGTTTCATTTGTTTATTTGTTTTTGCGACTAATGTTTAAATTCTCAAAGTCATTACAATTCATAACCCTATCATATTACCAAGAGCTATTAAATGCGATATATTAGTTTATAAAATTTTCAACAAATTTGGTGGTAGAGCAATTTTAAATTAACACACCTTAAAATCTTAAATTCAAATAGTTTGGTACAAATAATTAACAAGAAGACTCGGTATTGAAGGGGAGTTAGGAAGCACGATATCCAGGAGTGTTAGGTAGCCTCCCTCTAAAATTAAATAAAATTTACTCGCAACAAAACATAATTCAAAGCTAATATTCTATCCCATTTGCGCATGGTTTACTTGGGTTATTTTATTTTATAACAAATTCTCATTATTCAATTAATACTACGTTTTTTCCATTTAAATACGTAAGAAGTAATCCAAAATTAGCACATACGTGATCTCTTCACTATGTGGTTCGAAGAAAAGTTGACCTTAGTGCATGCACGTTTGGATCGCAAAAGAATTTTGATAATCAGATATTTGCTGTTCCATTTAATTAATTTAATAGTTTTAATTTTAAATTTGAACTTTGTTTTGTTTGTTTCGAGTTGTTTTATAGTACTAAAAACATTGAGAGGGAGAGGCGATTCTAACATTTCAAAATGATGATACACATACACTTATAGATGAGTAGAGAATCACAATCACAATCACAATCAGATCTATATAAATCATTATCCATGTAATCAGCAAGTGTACGTTGAAATAAAGTAAATAATTAAAACAGAGAAGCAAAGACTTTATTAATATTTGTTTTTCCAAAATTAATTTCAATTTTTTAAATACGATAGATATATAAAACAAGGAGGCATGTGAACGCAAGTACAACTAGATTAAAATCTGCGCATACGTAGACATATTAATGTGAGAAGTCACGTATGATGATGATATGCCTCTGGAACCGATCTACCACTTAGGCCGAGAGTCACACAATTCGACTCTTCACTAGGCTCAAACTCCCATCTTCCACTCCATCTTGAAAGAGTAATTTTTATTTCTCAAGTTGTACAACCATAAACAATTTAAATCCTAAACTATAAATTTGGATTGCTCACCCGTAATTTGTGGGATGTAACTCGCCTCTTATGTTTAAAAAAAAAAAAAAAATCTTAAACAACATAAATGGTAAGAATGAAAAAAGAAAAAAAAAAAAAAAAAAAAAAAAACTGTTTCTTCTTCTCTTATCGGATGTCCCCGGAAGGGACAAAATACTGTTTCTTCTATTGTTTTGATCCTTCTCTTGTTGTTTTAGTAGGTTTGTTCAGTCTTATCTACTTCAATCTTAAAAAGGCCTATGTCTACCCTTTCGGCCCACTATTCTGTAGATGTAACATTATTTTATTTTGCAGATCTAAATGGGCTTCGTAACATAAACCTCCTATAGGCCCATTAAGATATGAAAATGTATAATCATTATTTGATGCTATAGTGTTTGTATCTAAGTGACAAGAATCAAGGAGCAAAAGTAAAAGTGATAATTCTTTTACCTTTTTCTTGTGCATATTAAATATTCATTACCTTTTTCCTTCTACAATTAGAACACACATTATGAGATTTCAATATGGGTTATGCCTCAATAGTGATATTAGTACAAATCATAATGATAAAGCTCTACATAAATTTCCATACACCCCATAACAAATGAGTGGAACTCAGCTTATTAATGAATAATCAGATGAAAGTATAAGTAGATAAAATATATGAATAGTACTAAAATAATTTGAATGGACAATTATAGCACATACTCCACAAATTTCCAAAATTAGCATTAGTGAGTTTAATTTAGACAGTAAAATTCATTACTGTCGAAAACTTATACGAATGTGAAAAACTAATGTAGATAAAAAAAAAACAATATATGTAGTTGAAAGTTAATTTTTTTAAGTGAAAAGTTAAAACATTATTAATTTTATTATACTTCTTACCAATTCAAAATGACATCCATTGTTAATTTGTTTCGCACTTATGGAGAATCAATTTCATCAAATAGGAGTTAATTTGCCTTGTAATTTTGATTTTATACATATAATATGAGTCACCTTACAAAAAAAGTTTATATGGAATTTATATCTATTAGAAATTAATATATAATATGAATTTAATTTAATGAACAAAGAAAATCCAACTTGTTTCAAAGTCAAAAATTGTGTGCAAAGAGAATAATGAAAGTAAAGATGTTAAAAATATATGCTCTGCTGAAAGAAAACCATGAATATTGTTGCTACTGCTATATCTCATTGTGAATAGAGAGAGGTGGAATTTCTAATAGATATTGGAAGAAATTAAGGTTTAAATATCATAAACTTATACTTAAAAACTGGCTATATGCCTATATATTGAGCCAGCTTCCTAGCTCTGCTGGGTATGAATAGCCTTGACCGCTTCTCCGTTTGGTTCAACCAAACAACAACAACAAAAAATGATTAAAAATCAAAGTAAAAAACAAAATCAACAAGATACTCCAGAAACCCTAAAAATCCGCCATTGATACCGGACGCCTACAGTTCTCTCTATTCCTATTTCTTCTAGGGTTGGTATCTGTCTTTCAGAGCCACACTCTCTCACTAGGGGCTTCTAATTTAGTTATAGGGTTTGAAAAAATAAACAAGGTCGGGTAATTCTCTGTTTTTTGGATCTCATTAATTCTCTATATATCTATGTCTGGATCTGCATCTCTATCAAGTACATTTCTGGTCGGGTTCTTTTGGTTTTTGTAATAACAGTCAAAGTTCTTGTTTCTTATAACCCAGGTCTAGGGTTTATTTTTTCTCTGGTAATTCAGATCTAGGGCTTAATTTCCTTCTTTAGTTTTTAGTTTCTTCTAACTTTGTTCTCTTTATTCGGGTTTGATTACAGTTTTTGCAGATTAGTAAACTTCTTATGAATTGAGAAAAAAAACTTGCAGATCTGTGTTCGGTTGTTAATGTTTATTTCTTCTTATCTTTTTTTTTCTCGATAAGAAAATCAATCTCCTTGTTCTTCCAATACTCCCCTTTTTTTGGTTGGAAAACCAAAAAGAGACATTATTTAACTAATTTGGCTTTTCATTCGATTTGGCATTTTTTTCTTCTTTTGGGTCTCGCAATCAATTGTCTTCTCGACGCAATATTATTTAAAATATTTTAAAATTTTCAAACTATGTTTAAATCCTTGACAAATATAGGCATGGAACCTCTTTATTTATCTATATACTTTAACTTTATGTTGTTCTCACATAGTTGATTTTCTTTCTTGTTCTTATTCCATCTTTTTTCTGCGAGAATAACGTAACCTTAATCATGGTTTAGGAATCCTCTGATTGTCACTCTCTTTAAAGTTCAATCACATTTCCTACCTTACTAGTGCTTTGCTTATTTAATTTGGAAAACATCATACTAATTAATATTCACTAGATATATTCAAAGTTAGCACATATTGTTGATAAAATTAATCTTTTCAAAAAAATTCGACCGGAGTCCAAAACAACTGCATTCTCATTGTGTTTTCATGTTTGGCATTGCATTGCACATGACTTTAGAAACATAAGCATATGTTTTTGTCGACTAATTGATATAATACAAACATATAAGACCGGTGTATCATGAAATGTTATGAAGCTGTACATCATTTTTACTTGCTTCTTTTCTTTTTCCTTGTGTACTTGTTCATTTTTCTCTTTCTCAAATGGCTCTTTATTCTTTTAACTTACTTTTGTCATTTCAATGACCTCATAGAATGTCATTGAAGTAGTTTTTACATTTTCCATATTCCTTCATAAAATGTCGACACTTCGTGTTTGGGACTTCTTTAATCCCTTACTGCTGTAGACTCTTCCTGGTCCAGTTTAGTAATTATCTTTTATTTTTTTGATCAGTTGAGTAATTATCTAGGAACTAGTACAATCAAATCAAACTTTAGATTAAAAACAAAAACACTAAATCTCCTCCCCCATATTGTCTTATATTTTTGGCGCTAGGATGTAATAGTAATGGATCCATATATATCATTATATGGGTGCTTACAATTAACTAAGACATGTACAATTCAAACATGTCGCGACTCAACTTTTTTTAAGGCATTGTAAATCAAATCTAATTTTTAATTTAGTTACTTTAGTAATTATGTCATTCGAAAGTGATTCAATTTAGTTGTTGATAACCAAAAAGTTCCATAATAGAGGTCTCTTATGTATCAAGTTTCCACATCTGATATTACAGTCAATATCTCAGCATCAGATGCCTATATACTTCATTTAATATATATATTTTAATTCTGATAAATCACGAAACTTTATGAGGCTGTAGATGAATTCTACTAGATATTTTAGTAGTTTGTTTTTTCTAGTGTTCGTATGGATATGTATTTTTTTAGGAGCAAAAGCCAAGTCATACACCAAAGAAAAAGTGGGGAACTAAGGTACACAACACAAGCTAATATAGAAAACCATAGATATCCCAATATTAAACAAACATAATGAGATTTTTACAAAAGAGGTACTTTTCATAAGAGAATTGTGAAAATAGGCACTTTGAAATAGAGATTTTTTTCACAATAATAAATATAGTAATAATAAAATCCTAATAAGACTTTTATATAATCCCAAAGTAAATGTTTTTTTAAAAATTGCAAATATGCTTAGTGCCTTAAAATTTTAATGTCTTATTTTCACAAAACCTTTTTTAATTGCTCTTTAAGCAAATGAACTTTAACACAATATATATATTTCAAGTGTAGAATATAACGGTATGTGTGGTCTGAAGCTCACAGTTGTGTAATTTTGGATGATTTAACATTCCTACGCCGGGCTACAACAACAACGACCACCCAAGGTTTGATAGCAAATCATAAGTTTATCTGGAAGAGGCATCAAATCAAATTAGTGACTTCTTGTTCGAGGCTATGAAAATAGTGAGGGACATATATTCTATTATAGCATAAAAGTAGAATACAAACTACAAAGACCAACAGCTTAGTGCAACCTATCATCAGGTTCATAATATTTTACCCTTTAGGATCTATCTAAAAGTACTGTATAAAATTCAGATTTTTAAATATTTTTAATAATATATAGCAAATTCTAGTTAGGGAACATAATAAATATACCAATCTGAGTAAGCCAAACTCTCCAAATTAAGTAACTCAAACTTATCACAATAGAAGTAACATACTACTCCCAAGACATTTTGATTTATCAGAGCAGAAGTTATCATTGGTTAAGGGAAAAAGCAAATAGCTTCACATAATTAATTTATAAAAAATATATTTTAAAATGATAAAGTTTCCAAATAATATACTTAAACAAATGACACATATATGAACTTGTCTGTATACAGTATACGCTAACCCACTTATACATAGACCACAAGCCTGGTGATATGTTAAGTTTGTCGCATTTTTTTTTGATCAACCGATATGTTGTCGCATTTAAGTTAATAGCCTTGAAAGGTTTTGAATTGCCTGATTAGTAGAATTGACGTCCAGGACTCATAAAAGAATATACAAGTAGAGATTGAAAATATATTGAATCGTGAATTCTTACTTATATAGTTATATATAATTTTTTCATCAATTTGTCACGTTTCCTTTTGTTTTTGTCATTTGTTGTATTCCTAAAAGCAAACGATAGACAAACCAACACAGAGATAATATTAACAAAAAAAACGTTTAAAGGCTATACATATCAGTTAAGAATCCACTTGAACTATGAAAACAAAATATCATACAAATTTTATAATTTCTCCACATAGGTTTAATATTTGACACTAAAATGAAGAAAGTCCTTCATATAAACATAAGATTAATTAATATACATCTCTAACCAAACTATTGTTAATTTGAGATATTAATGGTAAATCACTATCAATACATGTTTTGATAGTTGTACATGAGGTCTGATTTCGCCACCAAGGAGTTATGAAGATCCGTAAACTGATGCTGCTGCAATGTACATGACCCCAAAAACAAAAAAAATCGATGAAAATATGAACAATAATAGTATAAGTCAGTTAATAAAACGGCGCCTTCGAATCGCTGATGTGGAACTAGATAGTAATAACCAACCCACAAAACACAACACTAACTCCTAATTATTAAACTATTTATAACATTAATTAATCGATGTTGGTGCATTAGTGTCAAAGAATTTGATTTAGCCGCCTCTAAAACTTGAATAACTGTGTATAGCTTTTGTTAAAAACCACTAGAAAAAAACATAACAATTATAAATGTGACTCGTACCTCAATGGAATTAGCTGCTCCTTTGCTGCGGTGGTGATTAATCACTGGAAATGATGAGTTCAATTTGTAGTTGACTATGTCATAAGATTCGTTTGAAATGTGATCATTCTTATTCATGACAAATTCGTTGCAAACTGCAAAACGATGATCGTTCTTGCAAAGTTTTTCGATCTCGTCTTCGCAGCGTGACATCTCAAAAGAATTCCGATTCACTTCGCTAATAGTATTCTTCATGATCTCACCATGATGATGAGCTTCTTCTTCCACAACTTTTACTAATTGTGATCTTCCTTTCATCTTCATCATCATTTTCTCCATTGTTCTATCCTTTGCTCTTTCTCTTGCTTTCGCTCTCTCGTCCTTGGACAACTTCTTCAAAATGGGCGTTCGCGGTTCTGGCCTCTTTCTCTTCCCTCTCATCGATCTCCCGTCGACCTTGTTTCCTCTTGTTTCTAATGTAAACCCATGAATATATAATTTGTAAACATATATTCCTCTTTTTTTCATAACCTTTTGAGAGAAAATTTGAAACTTATCTATATAATTGTAAAACAGAAAGGCGACGGTTAAGGTACGTACCGGTCGTGTTAGTATTGCTGCCTCTATCGTCGACCGTCCACATGGATGCAAGTTCACATAGATCAGACGATGTGTCCATGGATCCTAACTCCGGTCCTTATAATTAATTTCGAAATTTACAATTTTAGATTAACCATTTGTAAAAAAAAATCATAAAAGATAAAATTAAAACTAGAAAAGAGAGCATATTTACGGGTATGAGACTCGTCGCCGCTGCTGAAGCTGCACTGGTAAGAAAGGGTTTTGGCGATCTTTGTGATCTCGGGTTTCGCTTGTGTGAGCAACCATTCAACGGTTTTGCTGGCTTTGTCGAATCCAAGCATGTCTTGTAAGCCAAACAACTCTTTGGCGACATCTAGCGAGAGTCTCATTCTACGATCTCGTGTCCCTTTGGCCGTTTTGATCTTGCTGTGCCTGTCCGTTCTGCTTGGTTTCTTGACTTTTTTCATTTTTGGGTCTTGAGAAGTTGAGATTTTCTGGGAATCTTCTATGTGGGTTATAGTTTCCGAGGGCTCAGTGGGTTGGTCTCCAATGGTGTTGTTCAAGGGAAAGTGAAGTGATGGATGATGATTGTCGTTGGGGATGGTTTGGTTATCATCATGGCCATTGTTTTGTGGGTGGAAAGTGGTGAGGAGGGCACAATCCGGGACAAATTCGAATTGAGAAAAAGGAGAAGGTTGTTGGAATTGATGATGATGATGGTCAAGATAATTGTTTGATGTGTTAGAGGTGGAGTGAATCAAGATATCGTTAATGGAAGAAGAAGGGCTAAAAGAGAGCAATGGTTGTGAGGAATAATGGTCATTATAAGGGAATAACATGTAGTCGTCATTGATGGTGGTAGTAGTACTGAAAGTGTTGTTGTTCATGTCTTTTTAGGGGAGTTTTGAAGTAACAAAATTAAAAATTAAAAAACCCTAAGACAAAATTTTGAGAATGACACTTGTACTATAATCTTCTTCAGAGACACACAAAAAAGAGAAGAAAATGAGAGAAAGCATAAAATCAAAGAGAAAGATTACTGTTCTAATGACGAAGACATTGATCTCAGCCAAAATGAAAACTAGAAAAGAAAGAGAGTTTTCTTTTTTTCCTTAGCCTGCAAAATCAAGAAAAAGAAGAGAAAAAAAAAAAGAACAGTAATAGTGATTAGTCAAATAGTACAATATGTCTTTGTTCTAGAGAATCTATGTGTGTGTCTAAATGTGTAGAGAGAGAGAATACCTTTATTGAAGCAAAGGACTAATGGTTGAGAAAGACAACACAGGCGATGTACTTAAATGAGTCTATGTGCTATGAACTAGAATGGAGAGAAAGAGAGAGAAAAAGAGAGAGAGAGGCAAAGAGGTCATTTTAGGGGAAGGAACAACATAGACGCTTTTGACGAATCATTTATTTTGTTTATATATTTTTCCTAATTCCTAGCTTCGGCATGAAAAAATAATATATTCCTTTTGTTTTTGTGAAAATGTGATCATAGATGTTGGTTGTATTTGATTATCAAGATTTTTTCCTATAGTTAGGACCTTGTGTTTGTTTATGTTCTTATATTTCTTTGAGATAGTTCATTACTAATTAATATTTAGATAAGAACTCAGTATAAGTCTTTGATAGATATTAAATTGTTGACAGCTATATATCAACTAATCAAAGATTGTATATATCTTTAAAATTAATAGCATGAATTAAAAGATGCCTAAAAATAGAGTTCAATATGAAATATTTCACTGTATCTGTTTATTATAGAATATATGTTATAAATTTAGTTTTTTTAGCTATCACAATGATATATTTCATAGGATAATTAATATTACAGTTTGTTGACAAAACATATACTTACCAATTACATTAACCTTTCAATTTAAATAAACAGATCTTTATTATTATTTTTTGAGCAAAAATAGATCTTTATTTAACTCATTGAAATGACATGTAAAATTTAGTTAATTATATTATTAACATTAGTTTAGTAGATAAAGATCAAGGTATAGTAAAATGAAAGAAATAGAAGCTAATGAGATTTAATTTTACCCAAGAAATAGACATATAAATGTATGTTTGCATATTAAGAAGATCAAAATTAAAAGTTGGATATAATAAATATGAAATAAATTAATGAAATTAGGATAAATTTTATTTGTACTTATGCCTGTATTTGGAAAAGGATTTATAGAAGAAAATGAGAAGATTTTAGATTATGCTAAAGGAAAAAGGAACAAAGAATATATAATTAAAATATTAAAAAACATCTATTTGCATTCCAATGTAAGAGAAATTAAGATCAAATAAAATTATAAATATTTTTTTTGGTGGTATTTCTGAAAACACTATAAACAACTTTATTTTCATTTTTTTTTTTTTTGTCAACCACACATTTATTAAAAAGTTCCTTGGTTGGTTGCCCAACTAGGAGGAGAAATGTTTACAAAAGTAGCTTCTGAAAATAAAAGTCTAGAAGAGCGCGCTAAGCAGTCCGCTTTTAAATTACAAGAACGAGAAATAAGAGAAAGTGAGAAAGAGGGAAAGGAAACACGTAGCAAACCAAACTCGTCTAGAAGGTTGGAGAAAGCTGGCCATTCGTCAGGTGACTGTACCATCGAGACCAATTCTGAGCAATCTGATTCAAACGCCTGACAAGCAATCCTTCTTGAAAGGATATTCTTCATGGCCCAAATTAAAGCTTCCATTTCCGAATGAAGGGGTGAGGGCGATCTCCTAAGGCATTTTGCACAAAGCAGTATAGTTTGAGCAGTTCCCTGAAAACACCACCAACCTAAACCCATTGTTGGATCCGTAGCTTTCCATGAACCATCAAACCGACATCGTAATGATTGGTTTGGGGGTTCATAAAATTCCGTAAATGTAATATTGTCGATCGGTTCCATTTGAGCTTTTTTCCACAGTAATTTCTCACTCAAGGCGTGATTTAAAATATCTGTAGGATCTGATTGTATTCCTTTAAAAACTTTTTTATTCCTATCTTTCCATATGAACCACAAAATCCAGGCATAACAATTTGTTTTTTCCCCCCATCTCGAGGAGGTGGTATCCTCCAATAAAGATAATCTAGATTTGAAAGTTCCGAACTTAGAGGAAAACAACCTGGAACCAAAGGCACCCCGGATAATTCCCATATTTTCAGAGAATGAGAACACACAAATAAAGCATGATTTATAGTTTCCTCTGCCAGCTCACACCTTTTACAAATAGTGTCACAGCTAATCCCTCGCTGTATTAATTTTGATGTAACTGCCAAAGATCCTGAAGCATGATTTGATGTAACTTTATTTTCATTTTTTAAAAGAGTATTTTAGTGAATTTCTTATGACTTAATATATACACTAACTATTGATAATATTACAGTTGTTCATATAACAATGTTTGCATCTCCATCGAAAGGGTTCTTCTGGTACCTATTAAGGAATCAATCACTATAGTCATATACTCATATATGACTTAAAAAGGCGCTTAAATTTACCTAAGACACAAATATTGTTATTCCAAAGTTCCTCCATGCTTAAGTCCAAATCTTTTAATTTGTTGTTTTCATAATTAAAAATCTTATATTAGATTAAAAAAATTTTTGAAAAAAAAACTTATATATATTAGATAATATATCAACTGAGGCATAATTACAGAGTAATTTTTCTTGGGTTTAGATTCCATTTTCCGTACCAACTTTAAGTTTAAATACATTTATATTTGTTTCAAATATTATCTATGAAAATAAATAAATTGTATTTTAAAATATAAAGTATGAATTAATTAGTATATTATATATATATATATATATATATTATAGAGGATATCAAATAAATTTAAACACTATTATAACAACTTATAACCATCATATATGTATTTCAAAATTAATTTTAGAAATAGATATGATTGTTCTAACTTGTAATGCAACATTACTCTTCTACAAATTTTAGTAATTAAATCGAGAATAGACCAGGTAGTTTTTGAAAAGGGTAGCTCCTTTTTCTTTCGTAGACTTATTGTAATCCAATTGAGTTCAAATAGCAAAACTGACGAAAGCATTGGAAGAAATTTGCATCCGAGATTCAAAACTTTAAAACGAGATCAAAACTCGGATGCAAATTTCTGGTCTCATATCACAAAATCCATCTTACTCTAAGACATTGATTTACATGATATGGAGAAAATAATCATTTTGCTATTGGAGAGTTATAATAAAAAGTTTCATTTTCAAATCGGAGGATTGCACGTGGCAGTGTGAAGCCCTAAGAAAAGAAGTATGCAATAATTTAATTTAGGAAGAAAAGAAAAAAGCTTTACCTCTCTGAGTCTCACTGTTCAGTATTGCATGACCGACCAATCTTTTATTTTCTTTTGACTCTCACACACACACACTCTCTCTCTCATACTTATGTTTAGGACTTAGAAGTCGCTTTCGCTAAAAAGAGAACCTCTTTTCTCTCTCGTGCTTATCTTGTAAGCTTTTGTATCATTATTTTCCCTTGTATTTTTATGAAAAACATATTTTACAAATATCTCTCTGCTTCTGCATAGGGAAAAATAATATATCCCTAAAAGCCTATATTAGAAGTTAATACGGTTAACGGTTGTTAAGAGTTTATAATTAGGTAGTTAGTATTATGTTGACCTTGTCAGCTGTTTTAAGTGATGTCATGCTTGTTTTTAAAAGTAACTTACAAGAAATGAAAGTCACTAATCCACATTTATTTACGTATATATATATGCACGTATGTGTACGCAGGTAAAGCACGAACTTAGAAGTTACGTGCAAAGATGAAACACTGTCATTGTAAATAAAAACTCCTATTTTGGTCATCCATTGTTATCCACTCTTTCCATTTATTATAAATGATTTATACATGCCGCCTTCTCCACCTAATTATCCAGCACATCCCATGCTCTTTCTTCTTTCTCTCTCTCTATCTCTATCTCTATCTCTAGGCCTGCCATTACCAGGAGTCCAGGAGGACCACATGCATGACTATAATGGATGGACTCGCTGGCTTCTTCTAAGGTTGCTTTCAATTCTTCTTTCTCATAACCCATGAAGAAGACAACAACATATATCATATCACAATTTTGAGTATGTTTCTTTTAAAACATTTTAAAGTTGTTTATTAGTGAGACTCAAAATTAAAGTTTCAATCTTTGGTTAGTCTTGCAATCTTTTTTTTTTCCTTACAAAAGTGGGTATTGATTTTGCTTTCCCCCTGAGTGCTTTCATTATGTGTTCTATTATCTATCTATTCCTAATGTTGTTGGTTACAAATCTCAGTCACTCATTATCATCATTCTCAAAGTACAAATTATTTTTACTTTGTATAATGGGTTTGTCATCTTTTTCTTTTTTTTTGTGTGGTTCTTAGGTTGATAACGAATCATTTTCTATATATAGCAAAGAGAGTCAATGCTCTTTTAGATTACCATTCATTTGCGCAATTTCCTTTCATGGAAATGTGTCTGGAAAATTATGTGTGTTTGTCTCCACTTTTTTCACTGGAATACTCATTATTGACTACTTCTTCCGTTCATATTCTTGATTTTAGTTTTTTTTTTCTTCTCTAAAATTCTTGAAATAATAAGAAACGAAATTTGAATTTTCTTGGTTGGACTACAAAAGAAAGGAATAATTCTCTAAGAAAATAAAACATTTCCACCTCACAAATTTTGTGTAGGTACTAGAAATTCAAATGTCGCCACAAAATTTCTGAATAAATCGTCACCAAAAGTTTTTTTTTTTTTTTTTAAAGTCCGTCGTCACCAAAAGTTTCTTCGAATTAGTCACAAAACTTCAAGTCTTCAACTATATATATAACTTATGAGTCTGAAATAAAATTATGAAAATCATCCTCTTTTAAAAAAAACAAAAACCGCTTAGAATGATTATTTAAGTGTTAGTCTAAACATACTATTTCGGTTCAAACGATTTTATTAAAATCAATTACAATCACCGCTTGTAAAATACATCACAAATTTTAAGTTGGTTATGTCACTTTCGTTTACGGGAATGAAGAGAAACGGTTTTATATCAAATTGTTTTTTTTCTTAGCGAATCAAACAAATTATCGCGACAAGCTTAATGGGATGAGTAACAAGTTGATGTAGAGCTTCTTTGAGGTTTAGGGATAGAGATAGCCTATGTTCCTACTTTCACGCTTAAGTTAAGGAGATTTGACAACACCACATTTTCATATTATTGTTTTATATATAGATATATAAATAAATGAGCACATAACTGAGTAATCTTCATACTGATCAGTAGCATGAGATCAATTTATATATATGCCTGATTTTTGGTTAGAAACATATATGTAACCAAGTGTAAGTAGGTATACACGGTCGTTGTTGTCTTTAAATTATACCTTGTTCAACATTGTAACTTCAGAAAATAATAAAATAGCTTGATGGGAAAAACTTCAGAGAAGAAAAATACTTGAACCCACTATATGGTGGGATATGTATAGAGAGTAAAAGTCATATATATACTACTCAATTTCTACTCCAAATTTACGAAGAACTTTTTTTTTTTTTTTTTTTTTTTTTTTTTTTTTTTACGAAGAACTTATTATTCATATCAGAGTAAAAGTCCAGTTGATTACTTGATCACTTTAATTAATGGCCTTTCTCATGTCTTTATCTTGTTGGTCAGCTTCTCATATCGTGTATATGGTGAATCATATTGTTTTAATATATATATATATATAGTGGCGGATCTAGAAATGAGTTTTATAGGAGTCATAATAAAAAAAAATATTATATCTAAACTTAAATTGATATATTATATGAAATAAAGGGGTCATTTGGAAGTTCAACTATAAATTTATAGGGGTCAAAGACTAATATTACCCAAATTTTTCATCAAATTCAATCCAATTTACACTAAAAATAACTAATATATAAAATTTTATAGGGGTCACATGACCCCCTTCATGCCTTCTTCCCTCCGCCATATATAATGATTATAATTGATTATCTTTTGAAAAAATCTAAATCCAATCCTATATCGATGTCTGAATTTTAACCTTAAATTTACGAGTTTACTTAGAAATTGATGTTCTTTCCCCCTGAGTCCCTGACGATGTAACATCATCATGCCCTTTTATTTTAATCATTTAAAACCTTTATAAATGGCTTCGACCACACTCAAATAATGTCCAGTTTGCTTACTTTATTGTTCCATGCTTCACCTCTAAATATGGTTTATGATGTAATAGGTTGTTTGCATATAAACGTACATCTTATTTATGTGCCATGTATATAGGTGCATTATCCTAAAGACGTCATGTCTTGATATGGTGTATGTAAAGTTTTATTTTGATCGAACTAATAATAATTAATACTTTCAACATAATGGAACGTTATATAAATGATCTAGAGACCACTTCTATATATGTGTGAGCGTGTGTGACTACTACATATATGTACAGAGATAAGTTTGTGTATCATGGGTTTGTTAGGTTGGCTGTACTCTATAAAGTTTTTTGGTATATCATCATGACAAGAAATTGGGGACCCTTAAAACTCTATGATGTGATAATAATATCTTCAGTCAATACCATTTTCCAAAACTTATAAATTAATATCATATTTACTTTTAATTAGTTTGTATACTTATTTTCTTGACTTAAATTATATATGACATGTATCGTAATGGTTTGTGGTTACCTCGTCGTTTTGTCACCATTTTGACATGTGAAATTCAAGGAGATGTAACAAAAAAAAAAAAATGTTTGATATAGGGTTTTAATAATTTAAATTCTTACATTAAAATTAATCTTAAAAAAACTGAATCATAGCATGTTAATTGTACATGTACTCCTTAGATTTTGGAAATTGGTAAAATAAACAAAACTAGTTGAGATTTGTACAAACTTATCCTTTTCAGTATCACTAGTAAGCTAATAAACTTATTTCCAAAAACAAAAAGAGTGTACTAATGAAAAGATAATGAGAATGATGAAAATATAATACGATCAAAGTTCATCAAGAATAATTCAAAAATACAGAATGCAATTCAAGATAGATATGGAATCAATTAGATAAATATATATATAAAGGAAAAAGGGGAATATAACCTGACTATTTGGAACCATAAATGACATAAAGATAAGTTCATATGACTTTTGTGGCTCATCAAAGGCCATCATCGTCTCTATAGGCAATTTAGTGCTTTATAGTACAAAACCTTCCACTTCCTTTTGTCCAAAGTTTTCCAAATTAATTTATCAGCAGAAATAAATATTATCTGAATAATGATATGAAAAAATATCTATCATTATCCAAATTGTTTTGTCGTTAATTATGTTTCTACAAACAAAAGAAATCCTTAGTAGAGTTTTTCTTCTTTTTTGTAACAACACTCAAAAACTGTGGTGTCGCGACTTCTGGTAGGTATTGTTATAGACAGATTGTTCGTTAGCCCAGTAAGCCCAATATGATGCTTTAATGGGCCTTTATCTTTAATAGAACAAACATCGAAACATACACGCGTGGTCTCAAAGAACGTGTTGATACACGCGCCGCCGGTTGCCGCCAATCCGTTTTCCCGCCAAATTCGACACCATAAATTTCCTCTAGTCGCTTTCGATTCCAGTTCCATTGGAATTTCACTAAAGAGTAACATTTACACCGGAGTCGCAGAACGTAGGCGAAGGATTTTTGCTTTCTATATCTTCCAATGGAAGGCAATTTCGAGGAACAGAACAAGCTACCCGAGCTGAAACTGGGTAATGTAAAACCCTAGTTTTTTTTAATTCATTTTCGTATTCAATTTTTCATTTGGGTTTATGGGTGATTCCAAAGGTCTGATTTTGGTTGTGATTTTTTTTTTAAACTTTGGGAAGATGCAAAGCAGGCTCAAGGGTTTCTCTCGTTCTACAAAACCCTACCAAATGTAAGTTCTCGTTTTTTTGTTTTCTTTCTATTTCTGGGAAAAATAGAGCTTGTCACAGAGCCTCTAATTGCAATAAATATCACCTATTCAAGTCGGAAAGTAGATGCTTTAAAATTAGGGTTTGAAGCAAGTGTAGACATTTTGTTCATTGGGAAGCGAGTTAGGAAAAAAAGCTGGAGTCTTTAGCAATTTCTCGATCTATGCTCATGTGGGTTTTGATTGTTCTTTGCTTCAGGACTCGAGAGCTGTTAGATTCTTTGATCGCAAGGTGAGTTCAAAGTTCTCAAATGGTCTAGACTTTTGGTTGTTTAAATGTTGTCAATTGATTTATGGAACATTCTTAAATGCATTTGCAGGATTATTATACAGCTCATGGTGAAAATTCAGTTTTCATCGCAAAGACGTATTATCATACAACCACTGCTCTACGTCAGCTTGGGAGTGGATCAAATGCTCTTTCAAGCGTAAGCATTAGTAGGAACATGTTTGAAACGATTGCTAGGGATCTTCTCCTGGAGCGTAATGATCATACCGTAGAACTTTATGAGGGAAGTGGATCGAATTGGAGACTTGTGAAAACGGGTTCTCCTGGAAACATTGGAAGCTTTGAAGATGTTTTGTTTGCAAACAATGAAATGCAGGACACACCAGTTGTTGTCTCCATATTTCCAAGTTTTCAGGATGGAAGATGCGTTATCGGTATGGCCTATGTTGATCTGACTAGACGAATTCTTGGACTAGCTGAGTTTCTTGATGATAGCCGCTTCACCAATCTGGAGTCTTCGCTGATTGCTTTAGGCGCAAAAGAATGCATCTTTCCAGCTGAATCCGGCAAATCCAATGAATGCAAAAGCCTGTATGATTCTCTGGAGAGGTGTGCCGTGATGTTAACCGAGAGGAAGAAACACGAGTTCAAAGGACGAGATTTAGATTCAGATCTTAAGAGATTGGTGAAGGGGAATATTGAACCTGTTAGAGATTTGGTATCCGGGTTTGACCTTGCGACTCCTGCTTTAGGTGCATTACTCTCGTTTTCTGAACTTCTCTCAAATGAGGATAACTATGGGAACTTCACAATCCGCAGATATGATATCGGCGGATTCATGAGACTCGACTCTGCAGCTATGAGAGCGTTGAATGTGATGGAGAGCAAAACTGATGCTAATAAGAATTTCAGTTTGTTTGGTCTCATGAACAGAACATGCACCGCAGGGATGGGTAAGAGACTGCTTCATATGTGGCTGAAGCAACCTCTCGTGGATTTGAATGAGATTAAGACGAGATTAGATATAGTTCAGTGCTTTGTTGAAGAAGCTGGGTTAAGGCAAGATCTTAGACAGCATCTGAAGCGAATCTCAGATGTTGAGAGGCTTTTGCGCAGTCTCGAGAGAAGAAGGGGTGGGTTACAGCACATTATTAAACTCTATCAGGTACTTTCCGCACTTCAATTTGCTTCTCTGGATGTTAACATAATTGCACTTTCATTGTCCTAAATGTGTTTATGCAACTCTGTTTATAGGTCTGTTACTAAGTTCATTATTAATTAAGCCTTCCATCTTTTCTCTGCAGTCAACTATAAGGCTTCCCTTCATCAAAACAGCTATCCAACAGTACACCGGAGAATTCTCATCACTCATCAGCGAGAGATACTTGAAAAAGCTTGAGGCTTTATCAGATCAAGATCACCTTGGAAAGTTCATCGATTTGGTTGAGTACTCTGTAGATCTTGACCAGCTAGAAAATGGAGAATACATGATATCTTCAAGCTACGACACCACATTAGCATCTCTGAAAGATCAGAAAGAATTGCTGGAGCAGCAGATTCACGAATTGCACAAAAAGACGGCGATGGAACTCGATCTTCAGGTTGACAAGGCTCTTAAACTTGACAAAGCAGCGCAATTTGGGCATGTCTTCAGGATCACGAAGAAGGAAGAGCCAAAGATCAGGAAGAAGCTGACGACACAGTTTATAGTGCTGGAGACTCGCAAAGACGGTGTGAAGTTCACAAACACAAAGCTTAAGAAACTGGGGGACCAGTACCAAAGTGTTGTGGATGATTATAGGAGCTGTCAAAAGGAGCTCGTTGATCGTGTAGTTCAGACTGTTACCAGCTTCTCCGAGGTATGTTTAATTATTCATATTAAGCATTGGACTGTTACAGAATTATTTGTTTAAAATCATAGTAAACTATATATGGAATTTATATGTATATTGTATGGTTATAGGTATTTGAGGATTTAGCTGGGTTACTTTCTGAAATGGATGTTTTGTTAAGCTTTGCTGATTTGGCTGCCAGTTGCCCTACTCCGTACTGTAGGCCAGAAATCACCTCTTCGGTTAGTACAATCTCAAGTTGATTATTTTGTTCTGAAAATGAATAGTTTTTTTTTTTCCAAGTTTATGACATTATGTTGAGAGCACGCTTAATAAATTGTAGGATGCTGGAGATATTGTATTAGAAGGAAGCAGACATCCATGTGTAGAAGCTCAAGATTGGGTGAATTTCATACCAAATGATTGCAGACTCGTAAGTATAGTAGTGGTAAAAATAAACTGAGACGTCTTTGTTTTTCTTTGTTTCCCTTTTGACTTGAGGCAACTTCTTGTTTGTCCTTTATTGTTCTTTGAAATCAGATGAGAGGGAAGAGTTGGTTTCAAATAGTAACAGGGCCTAACATGGGAGGGAAGTCCACTTTCATTCGCCAGGTATGATGATTTCTTGTAGTTCAGTTTTGTTTCATAGACGTATGATTAAAGTCGGCTTCCTGCCATTATAAATCCCAGGTTGGTGTGATTGTGCTGATGGCTCAAGTTGGTTCCTTTGTTCCTTGTGATAAAGCATCAATTTCCATCAGAGACTGCATCTTTGCCCGTGTAGGAGCAGGCGATTGCCAAGTGAGTTTAAGTTTAGCCCTCGATGAACGAAACTGCTGATTTCGTGAACACTCTTATTCCAACTTTTTTCCTTTGGTGTGTTAGCTGCGTGGAGTGTCTACTTTTATGCAAGAAATGCTTGAAACCGCATCGATATTGAAAGGCGCTACTGATAAGTCACTGATAATTATCGATGAACTTGGTCGTGGAACATCAACTTATGATGGTTTTGGTTAGTTTCTCTTCAATTTCTCTTCTTTTATTTGGATGTTTTTAGTACGTTTGCTATTCCAAGACTTTAAATGTTTTCTTTTTTTCTTTTTTTCCATTTGTGAGAAGTCAATGTTCTTGACATTATTGTGGTGAATATATCAGGTTTAGCTTGGGCTATATGTGAGCATCTGGTTCAAGTGAAGAAAGCACCAACTCTGTTTGCTACTCACTTCCATGAACTTACTGCCTTGGCTCAAGCAAACTCTGAGGTCACTGGTGACACCGTTGGTGTGGCAAACTTCCATGTCAGCGCTCACATTGACACTGAAAGCCGCAAACTCACCATGCTTTACAAGGTTGGTTTAATTAAAAAAACTGCATCTGCATCTGCTTATCTGTTGCAGTAAAAAGTCTCTGTTTAATCTAAATTACTTGTTTGGTTTTCTTACAAAGACGAAATTAATTTTGTGTGGTGTGTCGTTTGTCTGGTTAGGTTGAACCAGGGGCCTGTGACCAAAGCTTTGGGATTCATGTGGCGGAATTTGCCAACTTCCCTGAAAGCGTAGTGGCCCTCGCAAGAGAGAAAGCAGCTGAACTGGAAGATTTCTCTCCGTCTTCCATGATAGTCAACAATGAGGTCTTGATTCATTTTCCCCATTCGGCAGTTTGTGCTCTATTATTATAAATCTATGTGACAAAGATTAAATTCTCGTGTTGTTGTTTGCAGGAGAGTGGGAAGAGAAAGAGCAGAGAAGATGATCCAGATGAAGTATCAAGAGGGGCAGCGCGAGCTCACAAGTTTCTGAAAGAGTTTGCAGCGATGCCACTTGATAAAATGGAGCTTAAAGATTCACTTCAACGGGTACGTGAGATGAAAGATGAGCTAGAGAAAGATGCTGCAGACTGCCACTGGCTCAGGCAGTTCCTGTGAAGAACCCTTGACGTTTTTTGGTTTTGGTTTTGTAAATAGCTTAAATCGGTTCTTGTAGTTTTGTGGTCGTTGCTTGTGATGAAACTAAATGAGGGCAAAAACGTTATTCTATAATTTTTGTAAGTAAAGACTCGTTTAATTTGCTCCCTAGTCTGGTGTAGCTAACAATTATTTTGCCTATTAGTATTATTAACCAAGTAATTAGCTACCATACCAATAATTATAAAAATATATCAAAAAGTAGAAGAGCCATTTTGCATTACAATGTATTTAAGAGAAATTTGATTAATAATTCTTATTCACACCATTGCAATGTCTAGGAATTGTTCTAAAAGCAAATTGTTTTTATGCTCTTTAGAAACTCGAACAATAGAATTTTGAAGTTAATCAAAGCAGATACAAATCAAAACTATACTGGAAAAATGTAGCTAATATCATATTATGAGATAGTTTATTTGGAAAACAATTTACAAATTTTTCATAACGATTGTTGTTGACTTAAAATAGTTTTAAGAACGAAGGAATAAACGTTCATATAAACTTTTAAATAATAGTTCGTCTTGAAACATGTAAGCCAAAGATGAATATGTGAAATTGTGAATAACAAATTGAATACCGAGGGAGATAAAATAGTTATGGTAACTAACATATTCACCTTCTCTAGTTAATCTTTTCGTAGCTATTTCCTTTTTTTTTTTATCACCAATCTAATTTCTTTTTGTTATGATCTTCTGTATTTATAAACGGACCACATAATTAAATTATAAGATTTTCAATAAAATTTAGGATTGTCATCTAATAATATTAGTTTTTATTGTTGTTTCAGATTTAGTACAAATTTCAAATAAAAATTAAAATAAGTGGCTATTAGTCAATTATAGGGATCCTTGATTCATGTTTTTTTGGATTGATTTATGCTTGAAAACACGTTTTTTAAATCGAATATTTATTAAGTGCTCTAGTTTTTTTGGATAAAATAATATGTTTTTTACTTTTAAACTATTTTTAATCCGTTTTGGGTGTCTAAATATGTTGACATGACTCTAATTGGGACGTGGATTGGTTGTTGCAACATAGGCACAAGCTTGAGTTATGTTAAGTAGTTTAGACGAGAATTAGTGATCCGATTCAACACCGGCACGATCTTGACGTTTCTACTCGAGTTCCTCCTGTTGGTTCTTGTGGTGTCTTCCTCTTCAAACGGTGGACTAAAGATTGATATCACATAATCGAGAGGAACCGGGCCGAATCGAAATGTCAAGAGGACAACATACCGTAATTTCGGCCAATATGACATATATGTGATTGTTCACTATCGCTAAAGTGGTGTTTCTTTGTGACAGAGAAAATAACAATTAACAAGAATATGAATTTTTCTTAACTTTTTGGGCTTTTTATATTTTTGTAAGTAAACGGTGTTTCATTTACTCATCTGTTTGTTCTCTGAGAGAAACTGAGAAATACAAAATGCAAAAAAATATATGGAACAATGAAGAGATAACTTGATTAGTTACCTACGATTAAATAGTATTCTCTAGGTATCAAAAGTTGAGTCATAATACAGTTCCTACGATGGATTAGGAAGAATGCTTTCTAAAATCATTTTGATCTTGAAATCATACGCGCTGAGAGAAACTTGTACAAAAGCTTCTTTCGTCCCCATTTCCACCATGTCGGAACCCGAACAAGCTTCCTTTTCATCTGATTTTCTGTAAAACCAGTGAGATTTTATCAGGAGAAAGTAGTATATATGAAGAAGGAAATAGTTTCTTTTGGGAAGGATCACTCACTTTTGTTTTCGATCAGACGTGCTTCCCACTCTGAGAGTAATTTGGAGTAGCTGATAGCAAGTGATGGCCAGAACTTCATTTGAATATTCATTACATCAAGAACAGTTTGTAAGCCTTCTCTTGAAGGCGTGGCTGCGATGGGCAGGTTATTCTCAGGAATTTCACCCAGAAGCACCTTTATAGATTAAGACGGATCATGAGCCTCCGTAACTATATGCAGATTTAAAGGATATCAAGTTTGAAATAGAGAATAACCTTGATCACTGCTGTTGCAGAAGAAGATATGGAGCGAAGATTGTAGCTGCATTTAATGAAAACAAGAGACTATTCAAACGCTGCCCCTTAAATATAACAGGCTATTCAAAAACGGCAAAACGCATACCCGCCCTCCAGAATAACTAGCATTTTCCCACCGCACAGATCACCCAACATCTGTGTCATTCGAGAATAGCCAGCCGGAGTCACCTGAAAGTAAAAAGAGTAGAATATAACACTCTTTGGTGAAATCCACAAAACAATACACTGCTTCCAGAAGTTGTAAATTACAGCTCTCGAATATGAAGCTTACATCACAGCATCCTAATGGGTCTCCTCTAGCAGCATCAAATCCCGCTGATATGATGACAAAATCTGGAGAAAATGCAGAAGCTGCAAGGGAAGGTTCGAGTTAAAATTAGACTGAACGCACATTCAAAAGTGAGACTAATGTATTCGGTTCACTTCCTGAGCATATTAGTCATCATTTAAGCCAAAACGTTTATCAACACATCCAGATAGAGTTGAACAAACTCAAAAGAGGAAAAGTAGAACCACTCTGTACCTATGGGAAGAACCACATGTTGAAACGCAAAGATATAGTCTTTATCACCAACTCCACCGCAACTCCAAGGAACATTTACACAATAACCTTCCCCACCATTTGTACCAACCTGCACCTCATAATTAACATTAGCAAACTATTGCTCTGCTGCATAGAGAAAATTCAAATAGATTTCGGAAACAGGACCAAAAGAAGAAAATAATCCCAAAATTCGAGACATAAAAATCATAATGCAAACCAAATACACAAATAAGGTATATGCATATATATACCAATAACTAAATCTACTAATGAATGCTGGATGAGACAATGTAAAACTGAAAAGCATGGGTACCTCATCAGCAGCTCCAGTACCGGGATAGAAGTGTCCTCCCTCATGTCTGTGCAAGGATATGTACAATACCTATGCAATGGTTCCCGATGATGAGTTCAAACAAGGTCAACTCACAAATATAATTTAATGCATCCAACACTGTAAAATCGATGCGCAGACACGCATAGAATTAGGCAGCTTACAGATTTGTTTTGTTCGAATATCTCTTGAGTTCCATTTCCATGATGTACATCCTGCAACAGTAGATAAACCATTGATATCAGCCAAACCACAATGCAGAGAGTATAACGAATTAAAGAAGTTTGAAGTTCTACAAAATCACCCAGTATAGAGTTATCAGTAACATTACCCAGTCCACAATCAGCACCTTCTTTGCCCCTGCTGCTTGTGCTACTAATGCAGCAACGGCTGCATTATTGTGAAGGCAAAACCCCATAGCATGCCTGATGCCAGCATGATGACCCGGAGGTCTAACCTGATACAATCAGATTATTTTTTTGAGACTAATATGGTGTAATTTCAATTTAAAGCAATTGTGTAGTTTCATCTTTAAATTTAAAAATTATGGTGAATTAGACATACCAAAGCGAAACCATTTTTTACACGGCCAGTGAAAATTTCTGTTGCGAGATCAGCGCACAAACCTGCTGCAAGTCTAGCAGCACGTGCTGAATACTCATTAGCATACGTGTCAGAGGTGAAGTAGCTGCCAGACAATGGTAAAAGAACGGGTTTAAGAGCAAAAAGAGATAAATGAGGAGCAGCTAAGGTAAAGGAAATTTCGATTCAAGTTTGAACAGTCAGGTTAACAAGCAAGGATATGCACGGTGAACACAAAAAAAGTAACAAATGGTTTAAAATTCAAACCTATAGAGAAGCTGGCTTGTAGTATTAACAGCATCAACATGCTCTGAAGTGTGGACCTCAAATTTGACAAATACAAACCAATTATGGAATTTCTTGCAAAAGTACTGCAATGAACAAAATATTAGAATTGTCTCTAAGACAGCTATGTAGCAGCTCACCATCTGGAGTTCTTGTTTCGTGATTTCCCTTGCATTAATAGGCAAGCATCTTCCAGGAAAAACACCTGCAAAAAATTTTAAATGTGGTGAGTACCAAACTTATTCCCAACAGTATGATCTTGTAAAATGAAACATATGATACGAGATATGGGATCAAGTATCAGAGAAGTAAGACAAAGACGCTAGAAGCTTCTTAATTATCGAAGTTATGTTCTGATCTTTTCCTTTTAGAATTAGACTTTTAATATTTTCCTTTTTAGTTTTAACTTACGTCGGTTGTAAGAGATCTATATAATGATCTCCAAATCTTAATAATAATCAGCTTCCAAACATTAACGTTATTCTCAAGAGAGGCTAGGGTTAAGGAAAGTTTAAGCTGCAGCTATTCTTTGTGCAATTCAATCATTACGGAGATAACAAGAGCAAAAGCAAAAGCTTTGGCTCATAACAACATATTGATATTCTCATGACAGTAAATGCAACATACCAGCTGTGGCAAGACTAGCAGCTATAGCTCGAAGACGATCAGGTCTCTCTGGATGTGGATGTGCCTTCATTTCAAACTTTAAAAGCATGCCATCAGCACATATTAAAATAGAAACACTTGCACGAAGAAAAGCTTTGGAGATAATAACGTAGAGATGTCAACAGATACTAGAGGTTTCTCAGGAAAACAGAACACATAATGGTAACAGGATCATACTTCTGAGTGTAGCAACATTCTCTCGTCGAACCCAACAGCTGTCGAGCTGGTTGCAGATGAGCTTCCTAAGATCAAGTTAAAAGAAAAGTGAATATGCTTACAGTTACTTAAAATCAAATAACATGGAACTGAGATTAGCAATAATTTATAAAGACATTTTCAGAAGAAGAAAGGCAAGTAATTCCTACCTCCATATTTCTCCTCGACTTCAATGAGACCAGTGTCTTTAAAAAAAGGAGACGCTAAATATCCATGCCTCAGGATGCCAGATTCCTTGTGTTCACCGCATATCTACATCAAGGAAACAACTTTACTGATACATAACCAATGCACATTGCGCACAGGCATGCATATGTCACTTTGAGATCATAAAAAGTAGTAGTCGAGCAAGAAAACGTAAATAAAAAACGTACATAACAGTGGACCATATCACCAGGGTTCGACATAGTGCAATTCACACAACACCAGTTTACAAACTCCACAGGCGCCTGCACAGGTTCCCAATCACAATCATCCTCCTCCTCATCATCATCATTCAGTAATGCATCAGCACCGTAAATATCTTCAAACGTCATTTCTCTTGAAACCCTAGCTCTTTTCTGCATAAGACATAACAATGAGTCAAATGACCGATGTCACCAAGAGCAGAACCAACCAAAATCCGTGGCAATACATTAAAAGGAAAGCCATGGTTATTAGCTTACTGCTGAAACTACAGGAGCTGCATTAATATCTCCATTGCTAAACTCATCACCCGAACAAGGAACAGCGACATCACCACCATTCACATGTCTTTTCTTTGAACCCTCACAGGACCTCTCAAGAGTTTCTACAACCATTGTTACCTCAGTATTCACTGAAACTACTAACCAGCTGAAGCTGTGCCAAACTAGAAACAAAGAAAAAATCCAATTAGAGAAATTTTAATTATCAAAAAGTTCCTCGAAAATTCCATATACGAAGAGCTAAATCAATATCGAAGAAAATGTAAATAACTTCACACACAGCTGCGACAAATAACTTTACGAAGAACCCAACTTTTCTTGTGTGTTTCGAAATCGATCGCCGATCCAGAACTCAGGAATTGCTTTTTCTCTATGAAAAAAAAGCCGAATAAAAATTTCAACGACGGTCTCGAAATATCATACCTGTAAGAATTTCCGGCGAAACGATGAACGGAGAAGGCTGCGTCCGTCGCGTTTAAAGGAGCGTGACCCTACGATAGCACAACAGAGCAGAAAAGAGAGAGAGATAACGACGGCGGCGACGACGACGTTCAGACTTGAAAGAGTAAAAGATTATTTGGGCTGAAGGTGAAGACCCAATAAGCCCATTAACAAATTTGAGTCAACTATTTATATTTATTTCCTTTTATTCATTTTTTTTTGTTAAAAGATATATTTCCTTTTTTTCTTTCTTTCTAGTTTTCTCCATTCGATAACGTTGCATCCGCGAGGCACCATGTTGGTCATCTTGAACCTTTGGTTGGAATATTCCATTAATGTTAAATACAATGTTATTGAAAGAAAGGAAACTATTACTTCACATAGCCAATTTAGGAAACTTGTCTTCTCGGAAAAAAAAAAAAAAAAAAAACTTGTCTTCTCGAAATAGATTACAACAGATTTAAAGGGGATGAGACTTTAGTTGTTATGTTGTGTTATGGAATTTTTGTTTGGTAAGTAACCTAACCAATAACTCTTATCATATATATGTATATAGTGAAAAATGTTTGAATCAATGAGGTAAACAGAAAAACAACACTGCAGATTGTAGGAAGACTAACGGTTAAACTAAACGATAATGACCAGCTAACATAATCAAAATAGGCCCAAGCGCATTAACACATGTTGGGACTTATATTTTTTTCCCTTGCTTACATTTTCCTTTTCCTTCCTTAACCTAATTCTAACTGTAAGTGAATCCAATTTCGTTTTTATAAGAAAACATTTTTGTGTGCATGTTAGTAATCTACAATTTCCATAGTACTAAAGCATCCTCTCTTTGTCTTTTTCTCTCTAAAACCTTATACATTAATATAAATTCTACAAATATGGGAGATAGTATTCCGTTATATATATAGTTCACAAGAAGAATTTAGTGATATATTTCCCTTATATATAACGACGACGACAACAACAACACACTTACATAAAAAGAGAGATAAACACCGAAATGTCAAAGATGTAAGTATGTGAGCTCTCTCTCCTTTTTATACCTCTATCATCATCTATATATATACATGCATGATAACATATATGTATAAAAATGTGTGTGTTGATGGTCACTTGTGAGAACAAAGAAGCATAGTAATACATTTCCCAATAATGTAGAACCTTCCTTTCTTCTTTTTCAGAAACTCTCCAACTCCTTTTGGTGAAGAAGGCTTGTTCTTCTTCTTGTCCCAATTCTTCACTGCCTCCTCCTTCGACTTCTCCTTCATTCTTTAATGTGTGTTTATAAAACAAGAATTTTTTTTGTTTTTTCTTATTATGGGGGATTCAGGGTGTAAACTGATGATTGTGTGATGTTTAAAAGGAAGTGAAGGTTCATCATTATATATAGGAAACCCTTATATATATTGGAGTGAGAGAGAAAGAGATAAGGAGAAAGTATTCCCTACCATTGATTTGGGACCCTTCAACGATACAACCCAAAAACAAAGGCCACTGGTGAAGTGTGACCGACTAGCTTCCCATAATGGTTGAAAATATTTGATGTATTGTTTTCTTGTCTCCTTTCAGTTCAAAGATTCATCATCGGTAGAGATTGATTCATCAGTTCGATTATTGGAATATTATGTTAGAACATACGGTTTTGCATGAGGACCGTCCATATCTGATCTTAATTTCTTTGAATTTAAATTGAACATGCAAACTAACTTTGTGGTTAAGTACTGCTCAATATAATAAACACATAAAATGCAAATTCGAAGGGATTTGATCGGATTTCGGGTTTGTTTTGAAAACAAACGTTTGAAAACTTCTGCATGACTATAAAATTTCACCAAGTAAAATCATAAGCCTTGCCTTTAGAGAAATGCACGAGTCCGAAGTTATTGTATTACAATTAGGACTAATCACAATCCACATTCAACCCCGCATGCACTTTGTTTATTGTTGATAAAAAGTTATACATTTAGTGTTCTACCCTTAGTTTTACGATTAAGGATCTAAACTTTTAACACATTCCTATTTTCAGAGATTATATTTATCTACCTTTGTCCTTTGAACATCAGTTGACACTTACGACACATTCAAACGACGAGCAAAGTACGACTGAATCTTATTCTCAAAAGAAACCACCCACTCTACTGACTCCAGCCATTATGATATTTTGCATTTAAATCTCTGGTCAGCTAATAATTGAAATCCATCACGAATTAAGGTCTAGTCAGTCTTCCTTACAATATGGACAGCTCATTTCGAGTAAATCGTCAGAGGCCTCAAAACATAATTAAGCTTTTGTTTTTTTGTTGAACCACATATATACTTCTCATCTAAAATATCGCATTGTTGACGCCAACAAAGAAAATGAATAGAATGACTAACGTAGTTTGTATTATTTACTCTTATATAGTTTACGTTCTTTCCACGAGTATTATTGGTTTTTTGGGTACTGTGCTTGGCTTTTGCTAAAAGAAAATTCCGTACATTATACATGATCGTTTTATGGAATCTCCGACGCACATATCTCTCTTTCAAATAAAAAGTGTGATTTCAAGCGATTTTACCAATTCTTGTTTCTTACTATTTTGGCGGTGCAAGTTTTGCTTCTTTTTCCTCCTGTTACAAGAAACTTTTATTTCTGTTCTCTTTTTGGTTTTGACTAGAAGAGTGATACTCAAACTATTTCTGACGAAACTAATACAACTACCACCACTTAGTCTAGACAAACATATAATCATGCTTTTGTTTTGATTTTCTTTTCATTTTTATTTATGTGAAACATTTGGTGATTCCATCTTTTTCATTTTTAAGATTTTAGTGATTCTACTTTGAAAACGTGTAATAATTGAATCCCACAACTCCGATTGAAACTAAACGAAATTAGAGCTTTGACAAAGATTTATCAATCTTTCAGATAAGACGACAAAATAGAATAATTTTGAGTTGCAAGATTTATAAAATTGTATAGCCTCACAAACTTCTAAGAATAGATATGGGACCAAACAAAAGTACCGTTTTCTGATTGTGTAATCTACGTATTACTACATATAAATTGTCGCAAAGTTTAGGAGAGAAAATGTTTACCAATAAAGATTATTGAACACCAAATAGCTGATATAGTTTCAATATAATGTTTCAAACTTTTATGTTAAGAAATCTTACGTTTTTGAACCAAAAAAAAAAAAATCTTAAGTTTGAAGAAGGATAATTTACGTATTGTAAACCCAACAAAAAAAAAATCCGTTAGAGATCTATGAACATTCAGGATCTAAAATTTGTAAACTAAAAAGCAAATTCAACTATCTTAAGTAGGAAAAAAAAAGAGAAGAGTCAATTTAAGTGGTATATTTATGGTGTATCATTTTCCATAAAAAGTGGGAAATCACATGGGAGATTTATATATTTTCAAACGTAAGGAAGTGAAATGTCGAATCCATCACATCTTTTTAATCATAATTGAGAAAGTAATCAAACTTAATTACGATCTTCACGAAATGGCAACGGGGAGGGGATGCACCATGCACGTGAAGTTCACGGAGACAAGACATCTCTTGCCTGTTGGCTGTTGCACTCATTACAACCTTTATTTCTTTGGCAAACACTCGATACAAACCTTAATTTTTTGGATCTCCACAAAATATTTATATATGTAGGGACGTATCCCTTCATTGGATATTTTTTTTGTTTTTTTCTTGCCAACTTACTGGCTTTAGTATAACAAAGACATGAACCTCGCATTTTTCTAATTTTTACGTGTAACATGAGATCAAAGAAGAGTAATTGCACTATATAGCATATTTGACCAAATTAATTAGATAGATGGGATAAATTAACATAGCATTTTTAAATTCTAAGTAAATAGCATAACATTTGTCATGATATTACAACTCTTACTCTTATGACTTTTTGTAATGTTTGGAAGTAAATAGCAGCGGAGAGGAATGCTTATGAAAACGGAGGAATGGAGACTTCCTTCCTAGATAGTTGTAGGAGCAGCGCAAAGATTAAATGTGACCTCTTTATGGGTGAGGTCGGTGCCATGGGGTACATGTTAGAGACACCCGTCTGAAAGACCCGAGAGGAAGTCCAAGTCGCAGGTGACGAATAGGTCCATGATGGGTAAGACCAAGGCTGATCTTACATATATGGTAAAATAATATAACAACTTCTTTTTTCTTTATGTTTTTGGCTTTCAAAATATCGTATTTTCTGATACATGCTAGCTAGAGTTTTCATTTTTTTTTTCTTCAAAAATTCTATTTGGCAAATTAACCTTGATAAAAGTAACACTAAAAATTCATTTTAGGATAAATATTTCATACTAGACTGGATAGACAAATCCATAAGATATAGGGACAACACTTGTATACTGAGAATTCGACTCTTTTTTTCATAATTGCCGAATCTAAGGCAGCTCTCCCGAACAAATATGGTTGCCCACCATATATCTATATATATATATATATATATATATATATATATATATATATATATATATATATTCTATTAATAGGTATTCTATTTTTGTTCACTAGGACACATTACTTTTTATTTTTATTTTTATTCAAAAACTACGGGTCGGAAGTTGTGGAACCTTTTTACCTCTTCACTGGTTCATCATCCCTACCAGGTTTGCATCTAATTATTAAACTAAATATTCATTCTAAGAAATGAAATTTTATATATTAATGATTCAATTCTTGAGAGAATAATCGATTTTGCCATGATAACGTAACCAAACTGGAACAGTATATGTAATACTTACTAGTATTGTTCTGCAATTGTTGTTTGCTTCCAAACAAATAACAACTCTCCTGTCTTTTTCATGTTAATATTTAATGTTCTGTTTTGGACATGTCTTCATTGTGTGGAATTTACCATAAAATTCAGGAATTGGGTTGACCCTACTAAATGAAGACTCTTTCATTGAGCACAAAGTACACCATCTAGAGATTTTTTTTTTTTTTTTGGCGTGTCTTTAAGTTGTAGTGGTGAAAAAAAAAAGGAACCATTCCGAC